AACATTTAGTATTATCTGGATTACTAATGCAACATGGTGTTAGTAAATGCATATAAGAATGTTTCCACGTATATCACATTGATTTATGTATTTTTTATTTATATTTATATTATTTATATTTTTTACATTTATAATATAGACATGCATTTATTTACAGTAGAGAGTGGTAACTGAATTTATGCTCTGCTGTTTTTTATTATTATAATATTCATCTAATAATTTATATAAAGGTCTCTAAACCACGCATCAGCCTTAGCACATTACATACACACACAAAAAAAAAAAAAACGCGAAGCAATTCAGTCACATCCTTCACAAGAAGAATATGATCAAATCTTGAGATAAACAGAAGAATGTGTACTCGAGTGTCATTATCTCTTATCATTCCCTTTATAAACTCTCTCAACCCGTCAAGGGATTATTATATATTTGTACCCTCGCATTCACTAAAAAAGTTGACTTAGAAATGTTTCTATTTTATTTCCTAACTGTCATATTCCAACATGCCATCAAAACAAAAAATCTGATTTCACAAGCTGGTGAGAAGAAGAATCTACCTGTTACTCTCAAAGACATGGTCTTTTTTATTATTTGAACTTACTGTACATTCAATGGCATAAAACCCGCCTTCATCAGAGTTCCGAAGCATAAGCTCTATTACATAACTTCCGTTCTAGAGACTTTAAACCATTAGGTCATATAAAATTAACAACTGACTTTCTAGTTATAGTGAGTATGTCTCAAAAAATTTCCCTGTTTCCTAATCGTCGAAAGATTTTTTTCTTACGCTACATAACAAGCCACACATTACTAAAAATTCTTGGAGTGACTGTTCGACCTCTGACCTGGAGGACACTGATAAGAACCACAGCTACAGGGCATGATGTAAATGATTGTAAGGTAAGCTACAACCCAAGAATCAGACTATATAACAAAACCACAACTCTCAGTTACGGTCAATTGAAAAAAAATGTGACCGGCTACAAAAGGACTATTGTTGTAATGTACAAGGACCTGGTCCATCCCAACATTTACAATAGACTTATGTAACATGATAAACTAATTAAGTGAAAAACATTCTCGTAGTCGAAAGGGATTAGGGACAGACGGCGGTGGTGGTAACCAGGCTGAAGAGTTAGTTATGAAGATCGTCTGAGAAAGCTACGGATTTCGGCTTATCGCAGAATATGTGAGGATTTGATCCAAACGCTGAAGAAAATGCAAGGAATGTGTGCCTGTGGGTGCAGTGTGTGTGTGTGTGTGTGTGTGTGTGTGTGTGTGTGTGTGTGTGTGTGTGTGTGTGTGTGTTTACTTGTGCCCTAATGTGTGTCTTTGCGTGTAGTCGAGTGTAATGCGTGCCTGTGCGTGTAGTCTAGTGTGTGTGTACTGTATATGTAGTGTAGGGTTTCGTGATATTATGTTGTCTAGCACTCAGGATGGATGAATGGAAACTCTAAGGTGGTGGTTTTCTTATATAATATAAGTTATATGGTAGACAGTCTGGTGCTGGAGATGCCGTGTGGTGAGGAGCTGCTCAGTAGACACGTTTGGTGAGTAGCGTGCTGAAGGAGGTAGATGTGCAGGAGCTTCGTTAGAGGAGATGTTGCCTGTTGCTGGCCTCCAGGTTGAATGAGAGCTGGACAGCGAGGAGCTTGCTTGGAGGAGGAGTTGCGTGTTCAGGAACCGAGAGCAGAATGAATCTCAATGGAGAGACAGAGCTTATATACACAGCCGCCGGAAGTAAACCCGTGGGAAGTCGCCGGTTTCTTGATTCCGTTGCTAGGGAAGACGTGGCTGGTTGCTAGGATACTGTGGCATCTGGTGACGCCCCCCCCCCCCTGGGCCGCTCGTTTGGTTGCTAGGGAAGACGTAGCAGGTGGCTGGTTGCTAGGATACTGTGGCATTGGAATGCGGCTACGCAGTTGTAGGGGAGACGTCCACTACAGTAGTCTAGCATGTATGTGAGTGTACCTATGCATGTATGTAGTCTAGCGTAATGTGCCAGTGTGTATGTATGTGCACCCGTATAATGTGTGAGTGTGTGTGTGTGTGTGTGTGAGTGTGTGTGATCTTGGATCTTGTTTTATTTGCGCCGCATCCTCCTAACCTCGCGTCATTTTATGGCTGGGGGATGCTGTGGGGACTGCCGCTATTGTAGGTTGCATGAGGTATTTTCTTGTATATTTTTGTGGTATGATGCATGTTCTTGTCGTAAGCTGTCTTATTGTCTCTTTCTGTCAAAAAATGAAGAGGTGATACAGCGGATTTCTCTTGTTTAAGATTTGTTGCAGCACCCCGATTCGCCTATAGCTATGAATGGACACTTAACACTACAGTTGGGTATATAAGTGAATTGCGGTTGAGCACAGTGTTGTCCATACTCTCTCCTTGTGGACTGAGGAAGGCTTCGTCTGCAATGCTGTATCCACACTGCCCCTAAACGGGGCTTAAAGGACTGTCATGCCAGTGTGATGCATTTTAACTATTGCGAAATTGGATGTGAATTTTGGGACCCATTTTATTTGATGACTTTGTTATTATTACATTGAAGCAAGGAAGTTATTTATAAGAAAAAGAACAATTAAGAACGCTATCGATATAATTTTGGTATGCTTAAATAATGAGTTGGGGCCGTCAGGCTATTACTATCCAACAGCAAGAGAGCTGGTGACAAAAAAACAATGAAATGAAGAAAATACATGTATACGTAACTCTGCACTACATGATACTGCAGTGGATTCCTCCCCTACAAACGCCGTTTGTCGCTGAGTAACCGACCCTCTTCGAATTCCCCAGTGTATGCCTCGTGGTCAAGGTCGGCAACCAGTGCCGCCTAACAAAGCCGAGGTCAACTATCAAGCCACGCCTACCCCCGCTATATAAGACCTCACGTGGCCGTGACCTACCTCTCTCTACCTACAGCCACCAACAAGCAATACTTCCTCCGCTCCTGCCTGGCATCCCTCGCTCCTACCGGCGACTATGCCGCCCTACATGCTGCGTATTCTCCTCTGAGCACCCTCACCAACCAGCTCTCTCTACATCATGCTTGGACTCACGCTGCCACCCCCCAGCACCAAGCTGCATTGTACATCCAATACAATATGTATACAGAGAGCACATTGTGAGTTTCCTTTCTCCATTCCATCCTGAGTGTGAACCAACATCTCATAACCCCACAAATGGTGACCCACGGAGATTCTCACTCACCCAGGATGGAGGAGAAACTCATGACCTCACAAATGGTGACCCCCGGAGATTTGCACTCACACAGGATGGAGGAAAAACGGATCTGCTCCTTTTCCTGCCCCAAGCACCACGTCCTACTGACCCCAACACACCCGTCCTGCCTCAGATGCAGCCCCCGGCCCAGCAGTACCCCCTGCTGATGTCTTGCACCCTGCTACTGTCCTGGACCCACCTCCTGACATGGCCCCTGCTCCTGTCGCGGTCCCTGCTCCTGACGTGGTACCTGCTCCTGACGCGGACCCACACCCCTCTTTTCTCCCTCAGGTTCTCCCTGGTACTGTCCTGCACCCTGCTGCTGTCCTGCACCCTGCTGCTGTCATGCACCCTGCTGCTGTCATGGACCCTCTTCCTGACGCAGCCCCTGACGTGGACCCACACACCCCTTTTTTCTCCCTCAGGTACTCCCTGCTACTGTCCTGCACCCTGCTGCTGTCGTGGACCCTGCTGCTGTCTTGCACCCTGCTGCTGTCATGCACCCTGCTGCTGTCATGGACCCTCGTCCTGATGCAGCCCCTGCTCCTGACGTGGACCCTGCTCCTGACGCGGACCCACACACCCCAGCAGGCGCTACTGAGGAATCTGTACCTGCCGTGAGAGAAGCACCAATTTCCTCGCCTCCACAACCCTCCTTCTCCCTCTCTTCTCCCACAGATCTCGTGTATCTAAACAAAGTGTCTCCCATAGCGGCCGGCTTATCCACGCCCTCGCCGTTATGTCTCACATGTGGCATACAACCCAGCCGACAACAAGTCTCCTGCACCGCCCGTTATGCCTCACATGTGGCATACAACCCAGCAGACAACAAGTCTCCTACACCGCCTGGAGGGAAGGGGGAGTATTGTAGTGGATTCCTCCCATACAAACGCTGTGTCGCTGATTAGCCGACCCTCTTCGAATTCCCCAGCCTGCGCCTCGTGGTCAAGGTCGGCAACCAGCGCCGCCTAACATAACTGAGGTCAACTATCAAGCCACGCCTACCTCCGCTATATAAGACCTCACCTCGTGGTGACCTGTCTCTCTTTCTACCTACAGCCACCAGCAAGCAACACCTCCTCCGCTCCTGCCTGGCATCCCTCGCTCCCGCCGGCGACTATGCCGCCCTACAAGCTGCGTATTCTCCTCTGAGCACCCTCACCAACCAGATCTCTCTCCATCATGCTTGGACTCACGCTGCCACCCCCCAGCACCAAGCTGCATTGTACATCCAATACAATATGTATACAGAGAGCACATTGTGAGTTTCCTTTCTCCATCCCATCCTGAGTGTGAACCAACATCTCATAGCTTTGATAAAACTGGAAAATAGCTTATTTGACGTATGGGGTCATTTAGATGGAAATTATGCTTTGTGTGACTGCTGACAGGTAGTAGATAGATGTTCAAAAAATCAGCATACAAGTTCGCATTGATTTAGCATGAACATATGCAGTGGAAGTATGGAAAAACTACAAACATAATTTCTATTCGAGTACTTAGAATTAAATTGCCAGCCTTAAATAAATCGAATCACTTATAATTAAAGTCGTTAGGTAAAGTAATCAGAGACGTGACCGATCGCCCAAGCGGCTAACAAGTCGATCAGTGGCGAAGAGGATAAAAGTTAAAGTTAGAGTAAAAGACAATAATAGGAACCTTTTAACTAAACCAATAAATTGGCTTTTCTGAAGAACCCCACAAGTCAATATTGCGTTGATGTTATGACGTATTACTGCGATTCAACAACTGAAGTTTTTCAGTACGCATTTAAAGTTATCAACAAATGAAAAGCAAGAGAAATATGTATGTGTGTTTCCATTATTTAAGGGATAGAGAGAGAGAGAGCCCTGGTGGTGAGATGCCATACTGTTCAAATAAAGCTGCCATGTTAGCTATAAAGTTTTCTGTGAGTGTCAGTGATGGTGGTAGTAGTGGAGCTCGGCCAGTGTAACAATCACCGTCGACGATGGCTGACGTAAACGGAGTGCAGCCCGAGTCGCCTAGGAAAAGGCTCAGACAGGAGCCCTCCAACAAGGTGTCAGTGGTACTAGGGGCACAATGGGGCGACGAAGGCAAAGGGAAAGTGGTGGATATGCTGGCAGGGTCATCGGACGTTGTGTGCAGGTGTCAGGTGAGTTAATTGTAAGCGGCTCCGGTGGTGGCACTGATGCAATGCGCGGGCCACTGCCGCCAACACGAACCTTCCTGCCCCGCTCCTGGCAGTTTTGCTTATTATTAAGAATTCTCATTATTGCTTACACTTAGTCATGGTTACATTTTGAATATATGTGTCACGGCAATGATATTCTCGACACCTGACATAGCAAAGAACAATGATTTCATGAAGATCAAAGTTGTCATTATCAAGGACAAGTACTTTCCCATTTCACGGTACAGTACCAATAAACTGTGTACCTAACAGTAATGTCTTCTGGTCTGCGTTTAATTGGAATCTCATCTGCTTAGAAATATTTATTTAATACCTAAGAATGGCCCTACCTTATGTATAAGATATTTTCCCATGAAAATTTCACTTAAACATTTTAGTACAGAATACAAAGTGGAGACCAATGACAAGAAATGTAATGGAATACTGTATTGTTATTCAATTTATCGTTTTCACCTCTCAGCTGTTTATCACTGTAGCCATTCAGGTGGCTGGTCTGTTCCTTTTGATTTTCATTGCTCAGTGTTAGTTCAGGAGGAAACCTGTAATATTTGGTAGGGTCACACTTGGTAACTTCCTTGTTACATCTGACTTGGGCCAGGGATTGAGCCCAGGACACATTGGAGAAAGGCAAGCACATTACTGTTATGTCATTAACGGTAATATTTAAGGACAGTTGCCCGGGTTATCCAACCACTTAACGAAAATGTCTTATCTAAAGAGAAATATCACTTGTATTCAGGTTTTCCTTACCATTTCCAGTAAATAAACACACTGCTGCCATCAGTCTGTTTCACGACCTTTGAGGCTATGACATGACTGTTGACAAACACATTATGAAACAATAAATCGACCAATCCCGAATACTAAGCGACAGAAAGCTTTCCAGCCAGTGAATAATGGCTGACTAACTTTCCTTCCTTTCTTTCAATACAAACCTACTTAACCAAACCTAATGAAACCTAATCTAGCTACTTAATCTAACAAAATAATAATAGGTAATTATGATAATAAAAGTTTACAACAGTGCTTTTTATTATGAGTTGCTTAAGGTAAATTCTTAAGAAAACTTGATTCTTTCCTTTTTATTTTCAGTTAAGGTTTAGATGAATTGCAACTTAACTAATTTTTTTTATTGTATTTCTTAAGAGGAAATTTGGGTTAATATTCGTTTTTATCCCAATTGGTATTTCGGATTTCTTAACATTATCACTAGGTTTCGTTTTTTAGTTAAGAATCAGCAATATTGTGTTTGATTAATAGGGTAGTAGTAGTTTTTATCCCAATTTCCCCAATTGGTATGAGATATTTTTTGGTTAATATTCGTTTTTATCCCATGTTTGGGCTTAAACTGTTAATGAGTAACCAGCAAAGAGATCGTAGTGCTAAACTACTTGCCCAGAGAACTTTTCACATGACTGTTGGTTAATATTGGCGACTGACCCACTTACGAGTTATTTGTGTTGCTTTTATTTTCTTACTCTATTTTCATCAGTGAGTACTGATATGATATAATTTCTTGTGCAAATGCGTCGTTTGGTAGATACCGGTAATTAGGCGCCTAGGCGTGCACTACTTTGTCTTCTCGGCGGTATTGCGGTGGTGACGTCTCATCCTAGGATGTAAACAGCCAATCATATTAGATGTATTTCAAAACATTCCACCGCCTGGGCCAGAGCTATGCCGATTGCTCAGTGTATGCTTATGAACCATTTGGTACTGGCGACTACTCTCACATCCACAAAAAATGTAAAATTACACCATATCATATTAAGTTCTTTGTTTAATACACCGGGAGGTCCTCACCACCATCGAGGAAGTTAGGTAGGTAGGTTTGTTTGGTTAGGTTGGTGAGGTCTTCTAACAATGCTTCTGCTGCTTGTATTTCATATCGACTAAGGTTAGGTTAGGTTAGGTTTAATTTAGAAATAATCATTTTCTTTTAACACGTTTGCACAAACTACAACAGTGTCCACTATAAAACACAGTGAAATGCGGCATTTTTATAATCGTTGTCTATGAAAATTCGGCCACAGGTCATTCCTCAATAATTGCCGAACTGTTAGCAAAATAACACTAATCTATCCTAACCTAAAATTATGCGCTTTCATCCTTGGATAGGTACTGTACTAGTAAATTAGGTTAGGTAGGTAGGTTGGTTGGTTTTGTTTGTATTTACAATAAATCATCGGTGGTGGGTGGTCGCTGATGAGCGTTTGCGGGTATGAGGAGAGAGACTTCTGGGGTGAAATAATGTCCCAGATAAAATCACCTATCTAATATGAAAATTAATGTAAACACTCATTACATTGTTTTTAGTACTGTCTTTATTAATATAGTACTTGTCAATAAAATAATGTTCGAAAGTTGCAGCTGCCAGTTTTGTCTTTTAGCGCTTGCGTAAACAGCTGGTACTAGCAGTGCAGCGAGGTGGCGGGTTCACTTAAGGTCTGTCTTCATGACGAAAAAAATGAGAAAAATGAAAATTGGAAAGTTGTATTTCCTCAAAACTTTTATTAATAGTATTTAAATTGGTAGGTAAGAAACAAGTTTTCTTCTGTAGAATTTTTTCTAAATTTGCTCCTAATAACATACACTGTTGTAAACTATTACTTAAGGATGATAATACTGTATGATATATTGTACAGTACAGTACTCGTATCCTTGGATAGTTAAGTTTTTAGGACTTAGGCCTTTTTTGCATTCAGCCAAAGAAATATTTTTGCTGTCTTGCTTAAATATCAGAAATTTTTTATTTTGTATCAGTGGACTGAACCACTGCCCCCTCTGGCTTAAAGTCGAGCTGGCTTGGCCTGTTGGCCTTCACCTCCATCAGTTCATTGAGGGTGTATCACTGTATATCACTATTTCTTAGCGTGTTCCGTCAAATTTTTTTTGTAGAATTAAAAAAAATCTGCTTGTCCACTTGGCACACAGACATTAAAAGCACTTGCCTGGGTGTACTTTACTGTATATTCGAACTACTCTGGCTATTGGGCAATATAAATCGGTAAAGTTTTAGTTTTAGTCATCTGGGGAATCTTTGGAATTTAACTACGTATTGGAATCAGTAGTTTAGACAATTCTAAGACACTTTTCTTCTATGACATTTCCCTCGCAAATGTCCTGACCTAACCTCTTAACTGAGGGCCTCCATCCCCTCTTCTCTGGCATAAGTAAGTTGTTTGCAAGGGAAACGGAGTGGAAGAAAGGTGTCTTAGAAATGTCTATACTGATTCCAATAAGTAAATTCCTAAGATTCCCCGGATGATCAAAACTCAAATATAGTACAGTACTGTAATTCCTATAAATCTTCCTAGCTGGACTTGAATATACTGTACAGTACAATACATGTACAGGTATTTTGCAGATTCTCTGTCAGAACTTTCAAATGCTGTATAAGTAAATGGGTCACCAGAGCTGTGCCAATCACCTGGTCATCATCATCTGGGTTGGTGGTGTGGGTGAAGTGTGGAGTAGGGGGGGGGGCATCCTGCTCTGGTTTTACCCAATAGCTGATATCAGGTAATTGCGGCTAACCCATGTAAATGTGAAAATGGCCATAGAGCGTTGATGATGGTGCTTTTATACCCCAAAAGTGGCATGCTATGGAAGCTCATGGCAAGTATGCCACTGCTTTTGCATGCTATGCATTGTCTGGTGGATTAGAAAGAACCATTACTGAAATGTCTGATTTTAGCAGGAAAGGACCACTAATTTTTCCATAACTTTTACCTTTCCCTTCAAAAAATAGACTTCCTGTAGTTCAGTGATGGTGTTATTTTGACAGTACAGTATTTGTAGCAAATGGAAGCAGTGGTCTGCATATGTCTCGAGCCTCAATCATTAAAGTCATTTTCTGATTAGAAAATTGAAACTATTTCACTGTTGACACCATGTCTCTAAAGTGCAGTTGAAGGAGGTTACTCAAATAAAAATATTCTATAAACAAAATCACAAAACTCACTTGTGATTTGATGCACGAGTATTATACTGTACTGTAATGTTACCTTCACGATAATTATACAGTAGAGTAATTCATTTTAATGTAGGGAATGCAAAAGGTGTTGGTCATTTCTTTTGTGGGTATCTTGGTTGTCTTATACATAAGGTGTGTACTGTTACTTACCATTAATGTGTAATTGCAGTAAAGACATGGTACTATGGTACTATACTGTATAACATCATATACAGTAGACCTGCCACTCAGCATGGATACTGTATTGACATTGACCATAAGGTCATAGTTAGGGTAGGATCTTGTATTTTGAACTGTAATAGTGTCTTTTAGGGTCATGGCAAGGTTCAGCAGCCATAGAAGGATCTTACTTGACTACAGTATATTCTGGTGTTGTGTCTTTGAGGATCATGGCATTAAGTATATACAGTACAGCACAGTATGTCACTGTCTAAAGGAGTGAACCAAAATTTAGCTATAGTCAATTGGCTATTGCTGAAATAATAGTTCAATGAGTTTGTTTTATTTCATCAGAGCATTGCCCCAAAATTACTATTTATTCTGTACTCTCCTTTATTCTATATACTGTACAGTACTGTTATACATGTCACTTACTGTTAAAGATTTTATGAAACATCCAGTAGGTTTGTGTATGAGGTAAGGTAGCCATTGTACAAAATGCCTATACAGGTAACCCCTGAGATATAGTGGTGTTATGTTCCTGAAAAACCCATTTCTAGGTGAAATATCATAGATAGGGAGCATTATAACATGGGGTTCAATGGGATATGATCCCAGCCAGTCCGACAAAAAATTTCCTACAATACTACTATCAGTACAAAACAAGTAAACAACACTCACCACATCATATTGGATAAGTCTGGTCATCATCACATGTCCCCTTCGAGGCTAGGGGGACTCTTGTAGGTGGAGTGGAGACATCACTCTGACTCCCACACAGCCTCTGGGGAGTCTCATGCTGCTTAACAAAGTCGGGCTTCACCTCAGAGACACGGTTGTCATAGATGCCTTGGTCTTCCCAGACATTTTGAAAGTTACACTGCTTACTTCGGTCACAAAAACAGAACAAAAGCACTTGTCACAAAAACAACGAATGGTGATAAAAGCAATAATAGCGGCTGACACTGCTCACATTTTCAAAACAACAGAGTCGACACCCCTTACAATCACAAGAACACAGAAAATATAATTTCACAGTTACCATAACACAGTTCAATCTAAATGTTCGTGCTGTCCTCTCACTATACTATAAGAAAAAATCCACTGATGATAAGGACAATGTACGCTGCTTGCTGATAATCCTGGAGCCATGCAATGGTGAGTATACGATCGACAAAGAGCCAAACACTGCTGTAATGCGCGGGTTGGCCGTGTGGCGGCACGTGGGTAGGCTGACAAGTGAAGGTAGAGATGCGTCATGCATAGGGTTCAATATTGTTTCCTTATAAAATGTCACCGACTTTAAGTTGAAAAATATAACTTGCATTGCTGGAATCCTTGCAAGATGGCAATTAACTTGAGTATAAACAACCCATAGTTGCACAAGAGAAAACAAATTCTGACCAATGGATATCATTATAGCGAGATGGTGTTAATTTATAACCATTGTTAAAGTGAAATATCACATCTCGGTATATCGTGGCTCGGGGGTTACCTGTACAGTATCCAAGTGCAAATCTGGTGAGAGAGGAAGAAAAACATACTGTCTGCAAATTTATAACAGTCTAGCTTAAATATCTAAGCAAAGTGTACAGTACCATCTCTCTTATTTAAGAGAACTGTGTTATTGAAGGCCATGGGGTAAATTAAAAATGTTGGAAGACGATACTAACAAACATAACCATATATTCTTAGGATTGCTAAATTGATAGATATACAGTACTGTCGTTTGGTTTACTTGGTTCATGTTATATGTTTTCATTAATGATCGAACCCATAACATTTGATATACTGTAGTCATATAAAGGAATGAAGCCACTCATTCTCTTGTGGCTTACCTTTAGATTAACATTGAAGAGGTATTTCCTTATTCAAGAAAGACTTCATTCTTGAAAAATCGTTTGTAAGTCAATTTTTCATAAATTGAAGCACATTTTCCCATAGACTCCCATTTTAAAACCTAATATAATGCCATACTAGGATGACCTCCTCCCCAAATCCTACCCATATCTCCAGCTGTTGCTGATATGGCAAGCAGGCATACCAACTTATGATAATGCACTGGGGATCATAACAAAGTATTTTGTCTAGCGTTTAAAATTGTAGAGACGGAAAATCAAAACAATAATTTTTGGAGGACTGTACTTTATGATTTTTTTTTTTTTTTTTCTAAACCCCAAATTTTTGTAAACCTAGGCATTTTAAATTGGGGACTACCTGTACAGAATGTGCTGTTTTAGAAAGACTAACAGTGCAGATCCCACAAACAAAATATCAAGAAACGAATTGGTGATTCTATTCTAGCGACCTTTGCTAAATCGGGTGTAATAATTGCTTTTAAGGCCAAGATGAAAATGAATACAGTATAAACTTAAGGAAATAATAGACGGCTTTGTTTATGCCAATTTTTGCAAGAAACAAATTCACACATGCAATTTACTCTTAACTATCCAATTTTTTTTTATACCAGTCTAAGGTTCAGTCATACAGTACACAGATGCACATCTCGCTTCTCATCTTTTCCACACCTACTACATTAGAAGATGCAAATGTACTTGGAGCACAGTGTACTCTTTTGTTTGATATTTCCAAAAACTGGAGCTTTGTACCTGCACATGAATGATATTAGTAAGTGTAGTTAGAAGGACAGTACTGTATACAGCTGTATTGTACGAGACTGTATTTGGACTAAAGCATCCATATTGAATCATTTCATCACTCAAGATTTTTATTTTAATGATCTCTTTAAATTGGGTCTTCATTTGATTTACTCAGTAAATGCAGAAGTTGACAGCTTTTTATTAAAGTAAATTACATTCCGTACAGAAGAAACAAAAAAGTTGGCTGCATTTTCTTTGTAAGGTTAGAATGACGTCAGTGGTGGTCAAGGACTCGGGGACTATATCTTGGGTGTGATCCAAGATGTGTTGAGTTTTAATTGGCCATGGTATTTGCAGACATGTTTGCTAACCCACATGAGTTGAGCAGACCAGTAAAATATCATTGAAGTTCAATCCTTCTTAGAGGAAAATACGGAAGTAAAATAGATTTTTGTTGTAGATATACAGTACTGTACTGTAATTGCCAGGCTACTAATCATTCTACCGTACTGTGTAAGTTAGATATCTTAATATGTTGGTTAGATATTAAGACTCTTGAATACAATAGAACATATAAAGTTTATTCATTGACTCAGCAGAATGGCTTACATTGTGTTGCTATAACTTATGATTTGGTTTGTGTTGTATTCCCGCAAAAATGCATACTGTGTTACTCCACATTTTTTAATATTTGAAGAAGAAACGATTGAAAGTAACTTAAAACGTTTGTAAAAATATGTAATTAAATGAATAATGAAAAAACAACAAAACTGGATGAGAACTATTCAATGTTCCACATCATGGCAACCTTAAGGAAGTTGGAGTAGTTGTGAGTGTTGAGCTGCTTTGTATGGGCATTATTTTGTGTGAATCCTCCTTATGGTAAGAAAGAATCCAATTGATTTTGGAGTCATGGTCATTATTGGAAAATGGTTTCCACTCCATGTTACAGTATGTCTTCCATAAAGTAAGGAAAATTGGTATGGTATGGATTTTGGGCTCGAAAGGTACAAGTACAAAGGTCACTCTAGGACCTTAATGAAAAATGTCCAAAACATCATTGACTCAGTCATCAACCAGTCTGTATGGCTGACAATGTAGGCACTTAAACTTTTGATTGGACATTTTGGTTCTTGAAACTTTTAAATACGAAAGCTTTGGCCCCAATATTTTATTATACAGGTACTCTATAATTTAACTACTGTATATATCAAGTCAATCACTGCTAAAGTTTTTGATATACAATGCATTACTGTAATGTTCAGTACTGTACATGTACAGTATAATAATGTTTGTTTTTGTCATTTAAGAAAAGTTTGCTTTTGTGCAAGTTTCAATTGTGAGATTGTTTTATTATATAGTTTCAGTACAGTATTATTTTATTGTTCAAAGGACAGTATAGTACTGTATATGTTAGATATAATTGTCAAAACCTTTATTTTGGTCATTGTTCTGGAATAATTGTACTGTACAATACAGTATTTTCAAATGCCATGGCTGTCGTAGCATATTTAAAAAAGATTCACTTAAATGAACAAAATGTGCACTAGATACAGTACTCGTATTTAGTTGTTACTTATTTCATGCCTGTGTAAGCTAAAAAGAAATAGAGTACAGTATTTGTGAAAACAGGATAAAAGGTTTTGGTCACTGTATTAGATCAATGCTTTATATCCATTTATGTAACTAATATAATTACTGTACTAATTTTAATAGGTACAATTGTTATCCCTTCCATCTAATTATTGAATTAATAAAATTAATGAGAGCTGACAATTACAATACAGTAGTTGCGACGTTGCACTACAATCTGCACGCTGTTATATGGTCCAGAAAATTGGCTGGCTGTTAGTCTAATGGATTCGGTGGGGGCGGGAGTGTGAATCATTGTCAGCTTGTCATGCTATGCTATTGATTTTAACCCACCTCTGCTTCCTCTATTGAACTATTTATTTGAATAAATTTTACCTGGTAAATTTTTTAGATTGAAACACATATTGCAGTATTTATTTATTTTTATTTACTGTAATGTACTTATTTTGTGTTAATATATGTTTTGGTTTTTTTAACAGGGAGGCAATAATGCTGGCCACACTGTTGTGGTTGGAGATGCTGAGTATGACTTCCATATCCTCCCTTCTGGCATTATCAACTCTTCTGCTGTGTCTGTCATAGGTAAGTAATTAAAAATGTCTATTTTGTGTAGTCTTATAATGAATTTTTTGACAGGTCATTTGCATTTTACTTATTTTAATTTTCTTAGACTAAAGACAAAATTTTAGTGCAACAACTTTCCCACCACATTCAAGTCTTTATACTTCAGGTGCAGGTTTGCAGGAATCAAGAACATATTATCCCATCATTCATTTTCATGATTATCTTGAATTGCACTAAGTTATTTTCTGTTGAGGTATTCCTCTTTTACAACCCATATTCAAGATTTCTGTCTCCATTCATTTTCTCTTTCCCCTTTCTCTACTTATTTTCATATTTGTACGTGTGTTCTTATTTGATTTGCCTTACATCTCTAAGGAACATGTCTTTGAGGGGAAGAGCCTCCAGGCAGCCACCCTATGACTACATAGCTCCTTTGTTGTATGTACCTTTAATCCCTTTCTCATTTTCTCCTTCGGGTACCATCCCACCTTTCCCTCCCATGATGTAGGCATTGTCTCTCCTCTGCATATCTATATCTCTACCTATTCAGTTATGCCCCAATTTTGCCCTCTGGCTTCTCTATTTCATACTCCCATATGATATAACAAAGGCCATTATGTCAAATTCCTATTTCTTAAATACCATGACCCTTTTCTTGCATTTCTTTTTCTGCTATCACATACCCTATCGAAGTCAGTCACTGCCTTCTCAATTCCTTTTCTTTCTTCACATAAAGTGCTGCATTGTCCACATCCAGCTCCAGCTTTGTTTGTATCCCAGCAATCCTTACCTTCATTTCTTTCACCACTTCATCCATAAATATTGAACAACCATGAAGAGTTCATAAAACCCTGCCTCACTGTTTTATTCACCCCAAAGCCCTCAATTAGTCCTCTATATACTCATACATGTCTTACTACTGAAGGAATGCTTAAATGCACTAAAAGCTTTTTATTATACAGTACTGTACTATAAATCATCACTTCCCCCATTGTCCCCTGATCTGCTTAATGTTATTCCTTCTTCAGATTCATACTTATTATACTCTATACAGTTTCTTATTAAAAAATCTCTTTCAGGGAATGGTGTTGTGGTGCATCTTGGTCAGATGTTTGAGGAGATACAGAAGAATGAGACAAAGGGACTAAAGGATTGGCAGAAGCGACTCATAGTATCTGAAAGGTCTCACATTGTCTTCGATTTCCATCAGGTAAATATGTGTAATGTGAAAGAGATCTGATTTATAATGTCAAATTTATATCTGTAACAGATCTTGATAATACCCTTGTAGTGGAAAAAGGTGTAACTTTATTTAGCTTTAGGAGCAAATAGCTTCATCGTCTTCCTTGCATTTCAGAGTGTAGATGGATTGCAAGAGCAGGAACGTTCTAAGGACAGCTCTGGCACAAAAAGTCTGGGCACTACCAAGAAAGGTATTGGCCCATGCTACTCAAGTAAAGCTGGAAGACATGGGCTTCGCATGGCAGACCTCTTGGGAGACTTCAGTGTGTTCGAGCAAAGACTAAGGAATTTGGTCGACTCACACAAGAGAATGTTCCCAGGTAAATTAGAAATCTAAATGATACTGTATTCATAATTTTTTCTTCACATTATTAGTGTTTAAATTTGTCATGATACTTCAGATTACAAATTTATTTGTATATCATAGCTTGCTAGCTTACATTACACTGTGCAAGAAAAGGAAATCTTTGAGTCAGGATTCTAATACTTTCCTGTATGTTTCAATAACAACATGAAGAAACTTGCATGATTGTACAGTACACTGTACAAAAAGTATCTGCAAATTTTTTTACTTGGCAATTTGACGCATTGGACGAAGGATTTTGCCAACCCTACTGAGACAACAAGAGTTGCAATATTCATTTTGACATCCATCGGACCCCACTTTGCAGATACTTTCCGTAGCAAGTGTAAATTGCAAATAAATCTTATTGCAAAGATGTTTTACATTGGAGAATTTATGGCATGAGGTGTTGTTTACTGTTCTTTGACTATTTAATGGTATCTTATGATTTAGGAGCGATGCTTTCATCAATTCTTTCTTGACAGTGAACCATATGAAAACTGATTTTTTAGCACTCCTTATACCAAACCATATAAATGGCCTAAATCACTATTTCTTATAGTAACACATACTCCTTTGGTTGTTGTACTGTACCAATCTACATGCCAGCTCAGGTCTCCATGTGGATTGCCCAGTTGCTACAACACATGCTCTCTTGTAAACAAGATGACTCATGCTCTCTTGTAAACAAGATCATTACCAGCTTTCATTTTCATTAAATAAAATTCCTATCGATGTCAGAACATTTTATCTTCAATTATAACCTCTTTTGGAATCATGGTGTACTAGAATGCTATACATTTCTTGGTTGTGAATTTTTGGGGTCTCTAGTCCTTAACCCTTTATTTTGTATTAATTACTGTACATGCATTTTTTTATCAAATTTTTTTATTTTATGAATGTTTTCGGTCACTCTCAAAATAACCCGAGGTTACTAGTATATTATATTTTATTATCTATCTATTTTTCACTTAAATTTTTCCATGGTAAGATTGATTTGCATAGGAATTATTTCCAGAGTTGACAGTGGATGTTGAAGAAGAAGTTAGAAAGTACAAAGGTTATGCTGAGCGAATGCGACCCTTAGTTGCCAATACAGTTGCTTACATTCACAAGTGTCTTCAGGGTGATAAGAAAGTGTTGGTTGAGGGAGCCAATGCAGCCATGTTGGATATTGACTTTGGTAAGTCTATCTTTGATGGATAAATATCTCAGGTATAATATTATTGTACAGTAGTAATGAGGAGGTACAGTATCATGTATTTTGCTTCAGTCCTTACTCTTCTTGATATATTTTCTTTCTTTACCAGCTTGAAAGATCATTGTTAACCAAAATTCATGGATATTTTTTTTAATTGTTTATTTCTTTGACAGGCACTTACCCATATGTAACCTCCAGTAACTGCAGCATTGGTGGTGTATGTACCGGGCTTGGCATTCCGCCTCAGTATATTGGTGAAGTGTATGGTGTTGTAAAGGCTTATACCACCAGGGTAGGTGTTGGAGCCTTCCCCACCGAGCTTGATGATGTAAGTTATGTTTGCTGTGTAACTTTTGTGATTGTAGACCATTGTGATGGTCCTTGTTGAATTATATCCTTAGTGTATAGCAGAAGGAGCATATTGATGTGCTTGTATCATTTACATACTTGTTCATTCTTATTTTTGGATTACATTACAGTATTGTACACTTTAGATTTTGAGATTAAATACCATTATTTAGGAATTTGCAGGAATTTGTATCTATACACTGATCACACTGGAAATTTTTTTCTTCATAATTATATGTTCCTCCAGTTCAGCGAAAGTGCCTAGTTTTCCTATGTTTGTCAGTTTTTCCAATTTTGTATACGGTAGTACAATACAATAGTGTAGTACATTTACAATGACATTTGTTATTTTTCAGTATTTTTTACCATAAAGTACTGTAAGTGATCCCTCAATACAGGGATAGTCATGGGTAAATTTTCCTTGTAATTATGGCCTAATTTTTGATGAGGAAGACTTTTTTAAATGCCCATATTTGACGAGATGTTTTGTTTTGGCCATCTGTCCGTTTGTTAGCTTTTACCTTTTGGGTCCATTTATTACATACTTTTACATGCAGGATCACCAAACTTAGTGGATTGTTATATCTTGGGGGGAACAGAATAGGATCACTGTGACCTGAAACTCTACCTGCATGACAGTATATAAGTTTAAAATCTGTTATGGGCCATTTATTCTGCGTTATTGCTCCTCCCAGACTTTTACTCAGTTGTTTTGAAATTCATAACACATTACAGACATGCATCAAGGAAAATATATATAGGTGGACAGTTGAAAGACATGCATTCAAATCAAATTTCCTTGACCTGCGTGTTTCAAACTGGTGGTGATGAACACATTATATACTTGGCACTACTCTTGTATTTTTAACCCCTAGGCTTTGGGTCACGTCATATGATATTTTGATCTTTTGCGGGCCTTTCTGAATAAAAAGGGTGGGACTGGCTAGATTATATTGCCAAGTACTTGTGTATCTTTCACTCACACATGGGAGAGCCTCCCAGTCTCTTCTCAGCTTTTGTGATGTAAGAATCTCGCCTCTGGACTTGACTCACTCCACCATGTGTTTTTATCTCCATCCCCCAAGCACATGTCTAGTATAATAATAAATTACTGGAGCAGTAATAATGATTTTAAATAGTAATAACATAGTAAAACAAGTGTCCTGTACCTCTTATTACCAATATATTAGTGTTGTTTACTTCCTACTGTTGCGTCACACACACACACCACTTCACAAACATTCTCGACTCTTCGTAGCCTGTGCTGCCAACTTGTGGTAAGGACATGCATTTATTTCCATTTTATATCATGCTTGTCCACTTTGTAAGACTATAATTGTTTTCATTTGTTCTTTAAATGTTCCCAAACTTACCTGCATGGGGGGAGGGCTGGGTGCCGACCATAGCCTGAAGCCCAGGGGTTAATATCATGCATTATTACTACACAAGACTGTTAAATTATGTAGTACTGTATAATTATCGTTGTATTCTTATTTAGACCAGTATGTGATTAGTGTTTGATTAAATTTCTATAATATTTATATACAGTATAGACTGCATTTACGCGGATTTTGTTTACTCGTTTGGTCATTTACGCGGCACCTTACCAGAATGAAAATTTTAAGTTACGCGGTTCATTCCATCATTTACGCGGAAAGCGGCGCCTGGAAGGTGCGCATTAGGTCGCTCTTACGTTATCGCTGACATCATATGACGTATCGGACTGTGATTGGGCCACGCATCCTTACCACCCACGCATTCCCTCCTCCGCTAGCTGTGATTGGTCTAATGTAACATGACGTGCCCTGCCACCAGAGGGAAGAAGTTGCTGACCTAGCCGGGCCAGTCTCATTGTTCTCAATTCTCCGCGTATACTGTTCTCTCTTGTGCCCGCTATTCCCCTCGATGGCTTCCGCTGGACCCCCACCACCCCCGAGAAACCTTGAACTACCTGGACCAAACCATGGTTATGTGAAGGAAATCATCGAGTTGGGGGAGAAAATCAAGCTCATCCTTGACACAGTCAAGCATCGGTATGAAGTGTCCAATAACCTTCTGTCGAAAATTATGGAGCCCGCAACCCACCACAACCACAGCCAGCCCAAGTCAGTGATAGTGACAGGATATGGACTTTGAGGGGTTTGTCAGGGAGGCCCTGCAAACCTCTGAGTTGTGATAGTGATTCACCGGAGGGCCACTAATCTGCCCTCTGCCTTGGAACCAGCTGCCATCCACGTGTGCCGACCCATCTCTTCTACTAACGTAACTGTTAAACACCTTTATATTTGTAGTTTTTTTCTATTTAGATATTATGTGTGTGTGTCAATACCATCATAAAATTATGATGTTATTTTTACTACAAGGTACGTATTGTGTCGGAAAAAGTGGAGTTTGGGAGTTGGCCCAGTCTCTATTTCAATTAATCCCATATGTTCTGTTATTTCGTTTACTCGTTTCTCGTTTTACGAGGACCTCCACGGGTTCAATTGACCGCGTAAATGCAGACTATACTGTATTTTTTCTAAGTACTGTAGAGTCTATGAAAATTCAGGGACGCATTTGAATTATAGATCGTGTTGTTACTTTGAAATTTGCTCATGCATTTATATCAGAAATATTATGTCAATAAAATTTTCACAGTTCACTCTTTTATCCTATCTTTGTGCCCTTGAATTTGCAAATTTTTCTCCTAGAACATGTTTGTGCTTGTAAACCAAATTTATTATACATTAGATTTAACAATATTCATAGACTTAAATGTAGTTTATTATTATTATTATTATTACAGTATTACCCTGCTTTACACGATTTCACTTTCTGCGATTTCTCATTTACGCGAGGTACCAGAACCGGACTTTCACTTTCCGCGGTGCATCTACTCATATACGCGTGAAGTATAATTTTTTTTTTTTTTATAGCTCATAAAATTCATACAAATTACCCGGCCAGAATATAATTTACATTGCTGGAATTCTTACAATATGATGATCATTTTGAATATAAACATCATGGATTTTGCATTAGACATACAAATTTTAGATCTAATGTAAAAATTTGGTTTACACAAAGCAAGTATTTTATCTTGTGTGCAAAATATATGAAGTTTACATTCAAAATATTCCCTGACCTGCAAGGAATCCAGAAATGTCAATTATATTATCCTAACTTTAGTCTGAGGTATTATTTATTACTAAACGTTAAAATCTAGTGTTTCACCCAATCATTTCTCAGAGAGGTAGGGGCCAGTGAGCTGGAAAGAGGGGGGGGGGGGGAATTTGAGTCCATTATTTGAATGGACATTAACCTGGCAACTGTATTTCTCTTAAATATTAATTGTGTGAGCATACCATCATAAAGTTTAGATGTTATTTTTACTACAACATAGGTATTGTGTCGGAAAAAGTGGAGTGGAATTTGGGGGTCGGGCCAGTCTCTATTGGAATTAATCCCATATGTTCTGTTGTTCACTTTACGCGGTTTTCACTTTCCGCGGTACCCTGTGGGTTCAATTGACCTCTGTCTAGTGCCATTAAGTTTGATAAAAGAAATAGTTTACATTTGCTTTATGCATTGTCCTAAACTGCAAGAACCTTTTGCCCTATAAATACCCCAAGGTTTTGAGGAGTTGAAATGGGGCTTGGAGACATTTTCAATAAGATACCGTGTAGGAAATGTAACTGTTTTGAAATGTTATTATTTTATGAAGTCTTGCTAGGGTTAAAGTTCAAAATATTGTATCACAAAATGATTGTTCTTGGCTTGTAGTTTCTTTATTTTTATCACTAGTTAGAGAAGTCTGCATAAAGAATTTCATAATGATTTCCACAAACAGCTTCAGAAAAATCTGGCATTTCCATACTGTATCAACTAATTGAAGTTTGAAAAGTTTGACTCCTTATATAAGTTGAGATGCATTCCTATGGAAATTTAACACAAGCACATATATGAATGGAAATAGGCACATATGACTCATTCATGATGCAACATGACAATAAATGCACACAACACTTGAAAATAACATAGCAAAAATGATGTTAAGTGCTGCAGGAGGTGGTGAGGTGAGGAGTTACTGTGAGTAACCTCCTTAAAACATTTTTATAGTCCAACATAATTCCTTTATGAAATCTTTTATCACCACTACTTTAAATTGAACTTGATGGTCTTTTTCCACTCATCTTGAATAAGGGTACACAGTAACACTATGCATAACTGAACACAACCTGGGGAAAGAATTCAAACTGAGCAGCACCATTGTTGTGGTGGTTGCTAGCAGCTGGAGGGGTGAGCTGCCTTCCAGCCATCATGTAGCTACCACCAGAATCCACACCAAATAAATTTTATAATCCGTGAATTTTCTTGTTTCACAATTTTTGTTAGAATTTTTTTTTAATATACCCAAATTCCATAGGGGTGAGTTTTTTGTCCGTTTCGTATCGCAAATTTTTTGGTCATAATTTCAAAATCCGTAACGGTGAACTTCTGTAACCCGGGATTCCGCATCGCAGTGGTTGCTTGTACAGTACTATAATCGTTTTCTGATAATCTCTGTGTAAACTTAAATAATTTTCCTTGCAACATGAGTTAACTGTCTTCAGTACACAGATCCACTTTGGGAGCATACTTCCATAGTCACAAATTTGGTTTGGATTTTGATGCATCATGCATCTTAGGTCTTTGAGATGGGTTGGTTCTGAATCAGGATATAGTAGTGTACTACACCTGCCTTGAAGCTAGTGAAAAGGTATAGATCTCCTTTATTTCCTTGGGATTTCTTACGACTTCGCTTTGGAAATGTCACCAGGTTGTAGTTTATGAATGTGAAAAGTGGGTCCTATAGGCATGACTGTTCTTTAGGGATAGTGTGGATACAGCTCACTGTATATTAAGCCTTCGGTACACATTTAGTATACAGTGTGCTGTATCCACACTGTCCCTAATGAACAGTCATGCCTATGGAACCCACTTTTCACCTATGAATGTAGTGATGTACAAAAGGAAGAAAAAAGATTTCTAAATTTTGAACCTTTTTCTAGGACATTGGAAAGTTATTGCAGAATCGTGGAGCTGAATTTGGAGTGACTACTGGGAGGCCAAGACGATGTGGCTGGTTAGATGTAGTGCTGCTGAGACATACCAATATGGTGAATGGTTATACTGCTATTGCTCTTACCAAGCTGGATATATTAGATGTATTGAAAGGTATGAATACTGGGGTTTCATTTATATATATATATATATATATATATATATATATATATATATATATATATATATATATATATATATATATATATATATATATATATATATATATATATATATATATATATATATATATATATATATATATATATATATATATATATATATATATATATATATATATATATATATATATATATATATATATATATATATATATATATATATATATATATATATATATATATATATATATATATATATATATATGTTTATTTATTTATTTATTTATTTATTTATTATGGGCATCATGCTGACCTCCTATTATGTCAAAGTATAATCAATTCCAGACTGGTTGTTGTTTCCAGGGGTTGTGCCTCTTAACTAAGGGCCTCCTCATGTTCCCAAGCAAGCTGTAAAATATCTGTGGTCATTTCTTTGGACCTGTCTGTTGCAGATGAAAGACTGAAGCATGAAATCCCATTTTAGGACTGAAAGAGCGGAATTTGTCATTGATTCTCTCCATCCCAAGAAAAGGGTTCTAGACTGAACGAGAAGTGAAATTATAAGGCCTCGCCAGTCATGGTGATAACAATCAGTCTGGAATTAATTTTACTTTGATTTGATGGGGGTAGCATGGAGTACATGTTTTGTCCATAGGAATAATGTGCCCCTGCTATGACTCACTTTTTAGACAATGGCAATCTGTGCCTAGGGGTGTTAATGGTAGGATCTGACAGGGCACACATTTTGTTCCCTCAGCCATAAAATCGAATTTCTGTATTTTTTGGTTTATTTGGCAAAATAATTTCATGGTACAGTATCTTATAAATTTTTCACTATGGACCAAGTACAGTATTATTGAATAAACAATTTTATATAATTGCTTGAACTTTATGAATTTAGCATTCATTGTTGTTTTTTGTTTAACTGTAATGGTGTTGCAGAAATCAAGATTGGTGTTGGCTACTTGAAAAGAAATGGAGAGAAAATGGAACATTTTCCAGCAAACATGGGTGAGCTGGAGGACATAAAAGTAAGTCTTTTATAATTGTTTATATTGAATAATGGGTGATCAGAAAATGTTAAACATAAGATTGATATGCCCAGTCCTTCTGTTGGTGAGGGGGTGAATAAAATTGAGGAAATGCCTTGCATAGAGTATTTTTTAAATGCTTTTTTAGTTTTTCTGTTTAGTGTAGGGTGGATGCAAACCAGCAAATACATGCGCATATTTTGCTAATATTCATTGTAATTCATTTATTCTTACCATTGTAAAAGATGTGTTCTGCTATGGTACTCTCATTTCTCAACAAGGCCCCAAATTTGGTTTATGCTAATTGATTGACACATGCCACCTTCATCCATTAGCAGCATGCCCTCCAGAAATGACTAATGTTGTGTTTTCCAACCTTTCATGCACAAAGCTGCTTTCTGGATGCCAATGCCCTTATTCCTAATATGTCCTTCACCCCTTCCATCTGTTTCCTTGGTCTTCCCCTGTCCCTTTTATCGTGCACTTATAAAGTGTACACTATTTCTATCAGTCTTTCACTTCCCATTCTTTCTGTATGTCCATACCACTGTTGCTGACTCTTGATTCCTTCTCTGCCCACTACACCTGTCACTTCCACTTCAAATTTATCTTACTCTCATTCTCTTCATTCTATTTACAACACATTTCACTCAGACATGTCATATCTGTTGCTTCAAATTTGTTTTTCTTTTGAATCTCATTATAATGTTGACTCGACCATACCTTCATGCATCCCATCTTAACCACCATCCATCTAATGTTTTTTCTTCTGCTACACTATGATTTGTCACTCATCATTCCATTTGTAGACAATTCCACTCGTATATCTGAAATACTGTACTTGTTATCGGCCATTGCATCCCCCCATTTAATCTTAACGTTTATTTCCTTTCTTTACTAACTTTCATCGGTTTTGTTCACGTTTACCTTCAGCTTTCTCCATAGACACACAAACCCAAACTCATATAGTAATATTTGTAAGTTTTCTTCGAAATAATCCATTAAAACAGTGTTATCTCAAATAGTAACCAACTCGCTTATCATATGCTATATATCCCATAATACTCACCAAACTTGTATCTCTCGAGAATGAAGAGGCAATGCTCTCTGTTCTTCCTATTCTTTACAAAAAATTTACAGATGTGTTGGATCACATTCAGGTGGGCTGGGTATGATTAGGTTTCAAACGTAATATTGACCACAAACGAGTGATAACATTGTCCACAAATGAATTAAAAACATTGTCTACACCCAACATGTCAATAGCTAGGGGTTTCATAAGTACAGTAGAAGATAAGATTGATTTTGAGTTGGTATGGGTGACAAACAGGAAATACTAGAGGTAAGAGAGCAGGAGGATAAATACCTACTGTAGAAGAACATGAAAAACATGGTCTTTTTCCAGAGCCCATCATTATTATTATTATTATCATCATTATTATTATTACAGGCAGTCCTCACTTAGCATCAAGGCTCAATTCTTGAAAACTGTGATGTTAATCAAAAAGACTTAATTGAAACTGATAATCCCATGTACTTAATGTTATAGGTAGGTGTTATGAGCAAAGGATGTTTACAGGTCTTGGGATGGGTAATTAAGAAATTAAAGAAATCCTTTATTAAATCATGCCAATACAAGTACTGTAGTCTACAATCAGAGCAAGGGTTCCATTCCTAAAAACCCTTGGGATATGCAAAACAAATTTTTTACAAAACCAGCTGGGTGGTGGGGGGGGGGGTGTACTTGGCCCATACAAAAACTTCCAAGTCAATGAAAAATACATGAAATACGTAGATATATATGAAATACATTATAATGTATACTGTAGTAAAATGCAATTGAGAAGCTTTATGCATACTCTTCATTTCATGATTGTCACTTGGCCACCTGCCACCACAGTCCACTTATATCAGGTAGCCACTATCTACAGGTAGCCACTATCTACACCCATATTTGCCACTCTTATGACATTAAATCAATAAGCATATAATAAGTGCAATAATGTATAAAAGAATTATCTAATATGTGGTAACAATTGAGTTGGGGTAATGAGTGATGTTCTGTATTGAGAAGTGCGTACTGTATCCTGTTCCCTCCCCCGTGGATGTTGCTCCTTCACCAAACTCACCGTTTAAGAATGTCTAATTATTCCTCGAAAATGGTACTCATTTTCACAGTTTTTTTTTATTCAAGTTGCAAAGCATACCATCAGTGTACATGACTGACCGTAAAACGTGCTTACGGGAAATGGTGGGTTGTGTGAAGTGTCGTGTAAATTAGTTAAGTGTTTTGGGCTTTACTATAGAAATGGCATGCCATAGCATAAAAGAACATATCTACCCTTCTTTATAATAAGGAAAGTTTTGAAATGAAAGTGTTAGAAATGGGTACTTATGCCTTTAATGTTTAATGAATTTTCCATGTTCAATTTTAGTTGTTGTCAATAATAATTTTATCATTGTTTTTGTGTATTTGTCCATAATTTATCTAACCTACTTTTTGCAAGGTTGAGTATATCATCATGCCAGGATGGCAGCAAGATACTGCTCAGTGCCGAACTTATGAAGAGCTTCCACAAAATGCACGTAATTATGTTGAAAAAATTGAGGAACTTGTCTGTGTACCAGGTATGTACAATGCTGTATATAGTAGATTTTTAAATGCTGACACTTAATTCCTTGGTGTTATTGATAACTCATACCAGGTATGGGCAACCCGTGGCCTGGACCATGTCTTTGTGTGGCCTGTGGAGTGATTGAGAAATTCTATTTATTGTGGCCCAAGGTTCATGTAGATGTAACCAGTTTATGGTGAGTAAAGCAATATTTATTAAAAGAATAACCTTCACACACAATTCGTTACCATTTCATCACCTAAGGGCAAGTAACTACGAAACTAACAGTGAAATTCAGTAAGTATATACGTATAGTCAATATAAAATTTTAATTTGTGAAAGTTTACTGACCAAGTTCAGTGTGGTCTGTTTGATGGATTAGCTGCCATGTGGCATTGGGTCACATGGGAATTAGCTAAGGTTGGGTAAGTCCAATGGGGTCACGGGCAGTGGTCACACAGGACTTGACTAATTAAGTACTGTACTTCCAGAATAACACAAAAACACCTAAATTGCACCTCGGTAACCCACAGTTGGCGAGTAATTAGCATTGAAAAAATTTAATTAAAATTTTCCAAGCATCATTATGGCCACTAATTACCCTGCAATCAAATCTTGGACCATAGTGTCAGAATCAGGCTGCTCAGGAGTACCTAAACTGAGATTTTAAACAAAATCAAATTTTTGGCCGAAACCGTCAAAATATTAAGCCTTATATGCCTTCATAATTTTTTGACTGAAATATACTTTTTTCTTGAAATTGGAATTTAAAGGATTTAACAAATTAAGTACTTCCAAAATAACACAAAAACACCAAAATCACACCTCGGAAACCCATAGTTGGCGAATAATTAGCGTTGAAATAATGTAATTAAAATCTTCCAAGCATCATTACGACCACTAATTACCTTGCAAATTGAATTGTGGACCATAGATTCAGAATCAGCATGATCAGGAGTACCTAAACTTAGATTTTCAACAAAATCTAATTTTTGGCCAAAACTGCCAATTTTATTGAGAGAGAGAGAGAGAGAGGGAGAGAGAGAGAGAGAGAGAGAGAGAGAGAGAGAGGTTGTTTCATTGTAGTTCGTCATGCCAATATTAACATTGACATTATTCTGGTGGGTGTGTCTCACAAGTAAGAAACATGCTGTAACTGTAGGAAAAATCAACTTATTAACAATACTGCTTCTCATCTTCTGTTAAATGCCAAGAAACATTAACATATTACTTCAAAATTATCATGATGGATTTGTTTCATAAATGGGAAAAGACTGTGGTTGTAAACTGAAAATATCGTAAGGTGGCCATGACGATAAACTGTTAGGTAGGATATAAATTTTGGTGGGTTGACCTGCAGAAAAATACCTAAATCGTAATGCGGCCCATGACTGAGGAAAGGTTGCCCATGCCTGACTTATACCAATGAGTGCTGGACTTAAAAGTATGTTTCAGATGTGTCCACAGCACTTCAAAGAAATTTGCTGAATTTATGATTTCTATAGATGCCTGCAGCTTGTCTCGAACATCTCAAGCCATGGAAAAAAAATTGTGTGGTGGTTTCTCTTGTCCATAAAGTACACTAAGGTGTCAGAGGGAGGCTACTTAAGTAATGGCAAAAGCTACTTTTAGTACTGTTTTTAACCATTTATAATTTTTGGTTGTAAATAGTACAGTACTGTATTATAAGGACACTACAACTTTATTCAGGCCCTTTTTTTTCAAAACTAATTATCCTTCAAGAGGAGGGAATTATGACACCTGCATTGCTTACAGTTAAGTTGAAGCTAACTTTATGTACAGTACTGTATTGTTATTTACTTGTTATATTACCTGTACAGTATTTTGATGTATTATACTGTAGGTGTTTTTTAACAGATAGATAAAGCCATTTTTTTTTTATAATATTTCCTACTTTGAAGCTCTGTTTAAAGAGTTAAAGGATATTAGTTAGATAGTCGTTATTATTGAACTTTCCATTTAGTGTTTGTAAATATTCGAAAATATAATATATACATATCATTATTTCAGTCAAGTGGATTGGTGTTGGAAAATCACGAGCCTCCATGATTACCATCTTCTAGGAGTTGAAGTCTTGTAGAAAGAAAGTTGGAAATAAGAGTCCCCCACAGAGGGCCTGCAGTGTTAGTGAAGTTGAGACAGATAGTTTTATGTATGTTCAACAGAAAAGTTCACCTACGAATTGAAGATAAAACTCGGAATTAAATTAACGTGTTCAAGATTTTGGCAGTTTCATTTAAAACTGTGTCACTTGGGAGAGAATTTCACACACACACACACACACACACAAAAACACACACATACAAGATATAGACACTCATTTTCTGATTTTATTTTATTTATTATTTTTTATTTATATTTTTTGAGAATCTTAACATCTTAGTACTGGTATGCTTTTTTTTATAGAAAATTTGAATTAGATGTCCATATTGTAAATATTGAAGACTTTTTTATTTAAGTCGAAGGAAGTTGTTTGACATTCTTGCTGTAGTGTTGTGTACAGGAACTAGGTCCTGCATGACATTTTCTCAAGTGATGCTTTTTGACTGCTGGGTTTCGTCTGGCTACAACTTGCTGGCAAAGATAACTTAATATAATTCTTGATTTGTGTTCTTGGCAATTTTTTCTTTTTGTAACTTAACCATGAATCAAAACATTTTGAAGTACAGTAAATTGTTATATTGTTATACATTTCTCAGAGGAAGCAAAGGTGAACAACAATTGTTATGAAAATCAAATTAATGGCAGAGCAGTAACAAAACAACATATCAAAGCAGCCTAGGCCTGGGGGCAAAATATAATAATAATAATAATAATAATAATAATAATAATAATAATACCATGTACCTGTGCTGACTAAATAGAATTTAACACATGGTAGAGATTTCAGAAGAGATTGTTTGTAGAGCTGCTCAAAGAAGTGATGGTAGTGTGTGAGTATTGAGTTTTTGACCAAAAACTTATCAATTTGAAACCCCAATTTAAATTGGAATTTTCCCTAATACATCTGTGATGTATAAATGAAACGACATTATTAGGAGGAACATGAAGAGGATTTACTGTATAAAATTGTGAGAAATATATAAAAGGATAGATAGTGAGTGGCGCGCAGTACCCAATAAAGAAAATTTATCAAAAAATATGGTTATAATTTTTTTATGGTTTTATATAAAAATTTATTGGACTTATGATCACCATTCCTGAACTATTATATATGAAAATATTGTATGGCATGTAATGAGTGTGTGTGTGTGTGTGTATATATATATATATATGTGTATATATATATATATATGTGTATATATATATATATATATATATATATATATATATATATATATATATATATATATATATATATATATATATATATATATATATATATATATATATATATATATATATATATATATATAAATTACTTTTTCTTTTTATCCTGGGTTTGATAGGTGCTAATAACTTATGTAAAGATTATAAAAAAATTTCTGTTCATTGTAAATTATGTGAAAATATCAGTCGGTATAGTTTTCTCGTAATTCCCTCGTTTCCATTTTGGGCTTGCATTTCGTAGAAAATTTGGGGACAAGCAATAAGGATGTTTCTTCAAACCCTGGTGCTTCTAACATCCTTACATAGATACGTACAGTCATATGCATGCTTGTGTATTAAATAATTTTCTAAATGATACTGTGTATATTAGAGACCCTCAGTTTTGTAAATTCAGATCGAATCCCTTTAATATGGCACCCAGTGGTCTCGCATGATTTTCAAATTGGTGTCTAGGCATTACAGTAGTTGGTAATAGTTTTGTGTCCCATGCTTCTACAAATATTTTTTTTACAACTGCCAGTCCAGGCTCTTATTGTTCTGTTCTCTGGTTTAATTTAGTTCTAGTTTACCCATTAATATGGCTTTAAAAAGACCAGCAAGTGGTAAGCTACATTGGGCTTACATATACACTAATATTCCCCCTCAGCATATTGTACAGTAGTAAAATACTGTTCATATATTTCACTACAAACCCACCAGGTATTAAGATATTTAAATGAAAATTTCTCTTGTAGGTGGGTTTAGTGTTGGGCAGATTAGTACTGTATTAATTACTCTATTTTGTTGATTATTGTTACATTATTTTGAGGAAATGGTAATATTTTTTGTCAGCAGGAATGCATCTTCGGTCTTTACCTGTTTTACTTTTTATAAACCTGTACTGTATTTCTATTTTACGAATCAGTACAGTAGAAGATTTTTTTCACGAGACTTCAGCTGACCACCTGTGGTTCAGAAATTTAAATGGTTGAGCACCAGTCAGATTCTTAGGGTTCTTGATGAGAGGGAATTGATCTGTACAGTACATACTTTCTATTATAACTAATAAAAATTTGTGTTTGTTGTACAATATACAACAAGTACGGTATGCCTTTGTTATTTTTCATGTTTAAGTTTCATGAGGAAAAACACTGTAGACCTCTTCTTATGGAGGGTAATGAAAGACATGAAACTAATATGTTTTACAATATATATATATATAACAAAGTAAACTGCCAAGTGTGTAAGTATAGCGTTGATAATCATTGGCGAAATTAAGCTTGCACGCCAGTGAGTACACTGTTATGGCGCGATAGAGGGCGAGCACAGTGTCAGGCATTAGTGGGTGACCCTACTACCCTTAACATGTAGTAACGTCGTCAGAGGTAAGATGTCATCGCCATGTCTTTACCACCAACGTTAACATGCCATTAATAAATTACGCCGAAGTCGGCAGCGTCGAGATCAGATTCTACATGTTCTGTTTTCATCACTGAATTTTGTTGTTGTTCAACAAACATATTGGGATTTCCCGGCTCGTCCCAACACTCCGCATTATGCCGTTTGCCCAGTTGCCGTTATCTGGCCTGCTCGCCTGGGCAAAACATGACTTCGCAAGCGAACTTCATAAATGCAACCACCGTGTTGGGGAGTTCTGATTACCCATTTACGCACAGCATGCAGTTAAATGTTGATGTTCGTGTTTTCAGCGAATGCGAGGCTCTTTGCAGCCTATAATATTAAATATTTCAGCGAAATGCGGCTTCGGGGATCGTTCTACAAAGTTTTCTTAGTATGTTTAAAGATGTCTGCTTAAAGAGCCTGTGGCACAGTGTTTGAGCTGAACACAGTGATATATTTATATTCTTCATCATCGCATTGCAATTTCAGTATTGTTGGTACCGACCGCCCACCACAATAGAGTCAGTCAGTATTTCAACAATGTTTTTACGCGTTTTGGAGAATTTGCAGTCTGGGAATTCATTGATGAGGAATATAAAATATATCTATAATATTGGCTTGAACCTTAAATACTCCTAGATCTTTTCATAGACAAATGCCTAAACATTACTTAAGAAAACTTTTTATAGAACTGATCCCAAGCCCACCTGTATGACCATAAGAATATTTTAATATTACCATTTCACAAAAATTTCTCACACATTCCTTACAACTAAAAAAAAACCTGAACCAATGGCATTTAAAACTCATGCACTGTTAAACAAATGTTAATCAGAGCTCCCCAACAACACACAATTGGTTGCATTTATAAAGCTCCTTGCAAGGAATGTAATATGTTTTACTTAGGCCAGACAGGTAAAGATCTTGTAACTAGACTTAAACAACATAAATATAGTGTTAGACAGGCCAGGAATCTAATGCTCTGTTAGTTCATTTGAGGGATAATAAGCATTGCATTGACTGGGATAATGCCTCCTCAATATTACCTTGTAATTCAATTGACAGTAGGAACATTTTAGAATCTAATCCCATTAAACATACCGAAGCATTCAACATGAATTTGAGTAATGGAATGTACAAACTGGACAATTTTGTAATTAAGAAGATTTGTAACCAGGTGAGAGGTTGGGTCACCTACCCTCTGACCTGACATCCGACCGTTGTGCTTTAAAGATTAGTAGGGTCATTACCTAATACCTGACCATTGTGGACCTGGTCTCACCCACCTCTGTATATATACACCTTGTTTTGTACTTTCTTAGTCTGTACTCACCCCTGAAGATGTGAATTACACGAAAGCGCTTTGGGAACTTTTGTTTTCTTCTTTCCTTGTGGTTATCGCATGTGATTTATATATATATATATATATATATATATATATATATATATATATATATATATATATATATATATATATATATATATATATATATATATATATATATATATATATATATATATATATATATATATATATATATATATATATATATATATATATATATATATATATATATATATATGTATATGTATATGTATATATATATATGTATGTATATGTATATATGTATGTATATATATATATATATATATATGTATGTATGTATATATATATATATATTTATGTATATATACAGTTTATGTATATATATGTATATATATATATATGTATATATATGTATGTATATATATATATATGTATATATATGTATGTATATACTATACAGTATATGTATGTATATATATACTGTATATATATATATATATATATATATATATATATATATATATATATATATATATATATATATATATATATATATATATATATATATATATAATTTTTTTTTTCCATTGTCATATTTTGAGAAATTTAGAGGTAAATACTGTAGACATTTCACTAATACTTTTATAATGAGATATGTTCAGTTATCAGAGTTGCCTTGAATGCTATCTTGTTTGTAGTTTTGCTACACATAATATTAATAATCATTGCATTACTACATATAGAAAAGTGTACATTGCCAGACAGCCTTATCATTGTATCATTGCTAATGTTAAAACTTAGTCTTACAAAGGGTAGTTAAATTAAGATCTTTATATTCCTGGAGAAGGAACTTAATATTTGTGGTTCTATCACTCATGAATTGGATAATTGTTTGATTAAAGTTTTGACAGAAACATTAAATGTGCTTTGTTTTATAGTTTCAGTGGATAAGATTTGTTAATGTTATTTTAATGGAGAAAAATTTTTGGACCTAAATTAACATTAGGTTTTATTTAATCATTCATGTGTCTACAAGATGTACAGTACTTACAGTCACTCCAAAAACTATCTCTTCTTTGGGGGGAGGGGGGGGGAGGGTCGATGAATTTCAGAATGAACACTACGACTTCTGGTGTCTCGGTAGGGTTGTTAAAATCCTTAGTCCGTTGTCATATTTTCTTGACACAAATTTGTATAGATAATTTTTTGAGTAACTGTACAAGTACGTGTATACAGGTATGTCTGTGAAGAGTATATTATGAGTAAAGGTAGCAGTGCATACTCATTCCTGGATATGAATAAACATCCCAGAAGTTCACATGAATTTGGTGAAATTATATGATGTCACATCCCCAGCCATACTCTGAGACTGAAGACTTCCTAGATATATCCAGTTGAGTAAAAATTAAGTGTGTTTTGTATTTTAATATTTGGTTGTGAGTTCTTATAAATATGGTACTTTGATGACCAAAATGGACATGTGCAACTGATGTGGGAATTCAGCTTTTAAGTATCATGAATATGTAGTCTCGCTCAAGATTCTTCAAACACTGTTGGAGACAGCTGGCAACTCGAGGCCGTTTGTTTACTGTAGTACGTAGTATAATATAATACAAAACAACAAAGCCCTACCATTAAATTAAGCAACGGAGAACTAAGTAGTGAATCACCAATCACTACATTTATTCATAGCTTTTTCTACGTACTATAGTAAACAAACGACCTTGAGTTGCCAGCTGTCTTCAACAGAGTTTGAAGAATCTTGACCGAGACTACATAATGTTCTATCTATAATATTGTTTAGGTTATAACACTTGTCTTTTATTCATCACTGCAAAAGCAACAATGGATGACTGGGAGCATTTAATTAGCAGTTTTTAACATAACATTACAGTATAGCGGTCATTTCAAATATTGATAATGAAGTACACACCTACAGTATAATTTATTTATTGTGGTGTTTTCCTTTAACCCTTAAAGCTCGGGCAATGTAAGTCCCGCCGAGCCCCCAATGCGGGCATAGTTTGGACCCCCAAAAAAAAGAAATCCATTGTCATTTTATAAATGAGTTAATTAATACAGTACAGTATACAAAAAAGACCAGGAGAATGAACTTGCATTCAACTTTCATTGTAGCATGGTTGGAGAGTTGTGTGGGGTGTTGATGAGCAGTATTGAGTGATGAAAGAGGTCTTGTTTGAAGCTATTGCACTCAGCCCAGAGCGAGCGGGAAGTGATGTTGACACTTGCAACACAATTCTTACTTGAAGGCACTTTTGTATCATATTTCTATCTTACAGCTACAGTACTACAAAACACAAATTATTTCTATTTTCCTCCAAAGAACTAAAATACTGAACAGTAGGAATATCCAGGCAGCACAAAACTTATCACAATTTTCAAACATATACACTATTTACATGTACGTCTACTGAATTTAGAACTTCTTGAATGCGTGGAAGTCTTTGTAACAGTATGCACAAGGCAACTTCACACTCCTTGCACCAAGTCGTCACATCTTTGTGCCGTGGTTCATGGTGGCTGGGAGGGGGAGAGAGTACCATTGTCTGTATCACTATTATCCTCACTGCTAGCTACGTCGTCAAACTAGACATCATCTGGGTCTGTTTCCTCCTCATCATTGTCTTCATCACCCGATACTATATCGATGCCACTTGAATCAAGCAACTCTTGACGAATAGCACTACCGTTGAGCAAGCCCCTTTCGCTTGGGTGTGGAGGAGTGAGGATATTTACGGGAGGTAGAAGGAAGTGCATCCGTCACGATATCTGGCAGGACCATGAGTCTTGAGACAATGATTATGTGCAAGTTGAGCTGCTAATTAAATCAATTTCCAATACAAATTATTTTGTCCCGCCTGGACATTCAAAAAATATGCTTAAAAAATTAAGAAAGTTAGGCAACATTACCCTGGGTCACCCAGTCAATGTGGAGGAACATCACCCGGGCTTCAAGGGTTAAAGATATCTGCTCAGCAAGTACATTCATGTTGAAATAAATGTGCCTTTTGTTGAGAGAATATAATTGCTCTTGAATGGACTGATAATGCTAGCTATGTCTTACTCTTTGGTACTTTTTCAGTGCTGTGATACTTTTATTTCAGTATTAGGTATTGTCATAAAATAATGCCAAAGCCTTTTAAGAATAAATGGTAGACTCTTAGAATGTACACAGTATGTATTTATTAAAATTATTTATTTTGTTAATATAACTGATGTATTGCAGTCACTAAAGCTATTATCTGTTAGAACTCAATAGAAATCATACATCATGCTTATGTAATTTTGAATTACTGTATTGTATCTTAATTTCTAGGCTGTGGGTCGAGTTTTAGTGGGTGGATTTTTTTAACAACAGGACTGTTCACAATTCATTTACAAATGTTACAAGTAATAGAATGTGCCATTATTTCTTTCCTATTTATCTTAGTTTTGGCAGTGAGATATCAAACGGAGAACAAAGGTTAGTTTTTTCTGGACGTTGTCAGTTATCAATGGAAGTAGGTCTAGAAGTTGGTCATGCGGAAGAGGGGTTAGTCATCATGAAGAATGTTAAGGTGTATATTGTTTAGTAAATCAAAATTGCATATAAGGAAATATTTTAAGAACAAATACAGTACCACAGTATTTAAATAATTTGATGAAAAGGTGTGTGTGTGTGTGCAAGGAATGTAATTAAAGCAATTAACAATAAAATTAAGATGCTTCTACTTATCTATGAACCTTCCTTTATTTTCAGCTTAACCTTACCTGGTGCAGGTGTCTGGCATCGGTATCTATTGCAGTATGTAAAGGGGTGAGTGATAATTGAGTGTTAAGCTCTGGCGACCATTATGGCAAGAATATCATAGAACCCAATTTAATTTTTTTTTGTTATTATTATATCTATATGAACAGTTATTGTTGCCTGGTTTTCACATTTTATATATGTCAAATAATACAACTATAGTTACAGGCATATCCTATTGCCCTTGTCTCCTTGTTACTAGTAAATGAATTTCCAGTGACAGCATAACTATGAGTGCAAATCTGTTATCTGGTTATCAGAATATGTACAGGGAGGGGGGGCTGGATGTATTTGAAAATGAACACAATAACACGTGCACAGCAGTCTCGGTTCAGTTTGTTTTTCTGATTGCGAGTTGCACCTTTTGTTATTTCTTCTTGCACCTGATAATCACCATGATATCTGCAGTATACCACCTATTCTCTACATAATGTAATGAAATAGGATGAATTGTGATACCATATGCAAAACCAATAATGTCATGAGTAACCTGCTGATTTATGCACCTTAGATACTATTTCAGCCCCAGGGAATGTGTTGCCAAATAGGAATATAACATCACTGTTTTCATGAACTGAGGTTACAATGGAATCACTTCAAACGGAATTTGAAACGCTATGATCCGATATTACATTCATTTGTCATATCAAATTACAATTACATTGTGATTTACTGCATTTCAATATTATTTCTACCTCAATTGATGAGGTAATATAACGTATCATCTCATGATTCGCGCTGGCAACATAACATTATCTGATACACACTATGAGACGATGTCGTTGAGTCCTCCCATAGTCACTATGGAGACATCAAAGGCTGCACGAGGGGGTGGATATACTAAATATTGATAGGTAGAAACTAATACAGTATAGTCTGGATTTACGCGGTTTTTGTTTAAGCGTTTGGTCATTTACGCAGTGCCTTGCCAGAATGAAATGTTTTAATTACGCGGTAAATTTCATCATTTACGTGGCGAGCGACTGGAGAGGTCCAGACGCACCGCACCATTTTTTTACTCACGCGGTCTATTCTTGACCATACGCAGGAAGCGGCGCGGTGAGGGGTGCGCATTAGGTCGCTCTTACGTTATCGCTGACGTCATATGAAGTGTCGGATTGTGATTGGGACACGCATCCTTACCACCCACGCATTCCCTCCGCCGCTAGCTGTGATTGGTCTAATGTAACATGACGTGCCCTGCCACCAGAAGTCGCTGACCTAGCCAGGCCAGTCTCATTGTTCTCAGTCCGCGTATGCAGTTCTCTATTGTGCCCGCTATTCCCCTCACAATGGCTTCCTGTACTTGGGTTGACTTGGTTTAATTAGACATTGGTGATGACGACCAGACTTGTTCTTAATGATGTGGTGAGTGTTGTTTAATTGTTTTGTACAGGTAGTAGTATTTTTTTTTATGATACACGCGAGTGTTCCAACTGGCCAGGAACCTAACTCCATTGTAAATAGGGGGATACCTGTATATTATTTTGTTTTTGACTATGTAGGCGTTGTTATTCTCTTAAGACCAGTTTATTTGAAAATGGGGAGGTTTAAGATAAACATATGATGATTATGATTTTATTCTTTTCCTCCATTACAATAAATGTTTAAATTTGAAAAATGACAAGGATGTAGACATAATCTGATGTCCAAGCACAAAATATCACAGTTGGGGATCAAACTTTCAATAGTAACTGAAGACACAAGTTTTCCCACAGTTACTTTTTAGCAATTTGAGCAATCACAGTACAGTGAAATGAGTTACATTACAATAGAGGTAGCACATAAAACACTTAGGATTAATGTCACATCAAAGTTGTCAAAAAAAAAAATGCAACAAATAAACTATACAGAATATACCCTGCCTCTTTTATCTTTTGCCGATTAAAAGATAATTATATATCCTCCACTAGTTGAGCCAATTGCCAGTGAAAGAGGAAAAAAATTCCCCTACATGGAAAAGCAATTGGATACCTGTAGTCTAAAACGTTCTGATATAACTGTGACCAGCTCAGAGTATGCCTATAATATAAATCTGAGGGCCTTAGTTGTGACAATAACACAAAATTGGTACAAATCACTTACAACTACTTCCCCTTCTGGTAAAGAAAAATAATGGGAATACAATAATTGTTTCCTAACTCTTGATAATACTGATAAATATGTTAAACATATATCAAAAGGAAACCATATGAACTCTGCATGTTAGTTTCATTTCATGTCCCGGAGTACACCTATCAGTTGATCTCAGGTTACAGCAAAGCATGAACCTGGATTTAATAAAATAAAATGTCAAAGCATTCAACAGTGATCTTTTGGCCAATGTGCTGCCATGACCATGTTGATAGAAAAAAAGTTAACATGCTTATCATAATAATTTCCTGTGCGTGAAAATATGTTCATTCCATTTGTCATCATAAAAGTTGTCACAGCAGATTCCACTGAAACCACTAAATACTGTACTGTATTCCTGAAAGAGACATACAGTACAAGGTGAATTCTTGGTACAATTCTAAGTTAAATGTCGATATGACAAAATATTGGAATCTGCATAGTTTTTTAGGTACAGCAGTTGAAAAAAAAAGAGATTAAAAATGTAATGATAGTGAGGTTGGATTGAAACGACCATAGATGTTTGTCTCATTTCATGCACATAACTGATATTTATTTATTTATTTATTTATTTTTTTACGGGGATTAGCCCACCCGGGCACAGGTCACTGACCCACATCCGGGCCTGGGGGGACGAAAATGTAATAATAATAATTAGTTCATAGTAATAAAATTTATAAAAAAAAATAATAATAATAACAATAATACTGTAATAATAACAACACTGATGATGATGATGATGGTAATAATAATAATAATAATAATAAAGAAAAAAAAAGAAAAAAAAAAGATCAAAAGTGAGAAACGATATACGGTACCCGGTATGTGTGTTATGTTCTCAAAGTAAAAAATTGCGTGTAAATGTGGCAGAAAGTCAGATCAGCAACCTGGGGCTTGGGTCACAATTTTCGTGATGCCATATGGCAGCAGGGTCTACCATTAAACAACACATTATGCTTCCAATATCTTCCCAGGTGGTAGTACCTCCCTGTTTGATAGCTGCATACTACCTACTGTGTTATAGCAGTATATGTTCAAAATTCCCACCCTCTGCTTCTGTATCACATTGTGTGGTTATGTGAATAAACTTACACAAATATCTATGGTTGTTTCTCTCCAACCATTATGTCAATATCTTTTTCAACTGCTGTACCTAGATTACATCATTTTGTCATATGGACATTTGGCTTAGAATTCACTCTGGAATTTACTGTACACAACTGAGAATCACCCTGTATAGTATCTAGAATAAAAAAAACAAAAACAAGAGTTCAAGTAAATGAATGAAGCTACTGCATTAAAAACATACTAGGTAAGTACTGTATACATTAGGTCAGAATCATGCTTTTTGGTTACTGGGTATACAGTACATATATAACTTCCTTTGAGGGCAAATACCTCTGCAGTATCACTAAAACAATAGTCATGGATTATGAACCTTAAAATTAAAATCCCCTTCAACATGAAACAATTACAGTTCATACCATAATCATAATGATGAACAATTTTAAATATAGGTACAGTACATATATTGTACTGTAACTTTACAGTGAATTATTTTCTACATTATTAATGTAAGGAAGTATATTGTATTACCATACCAACTTCAACTCTATAAATGTAGTACAGTACTGTATTGTACAAGTAAAAACTATTATGTTGCTGTAGTGAACTGACAAATTTCCATAATAAATTTTACTACTTATTTCAATAATAAGTTTGATAAGATTTTAGGCAAATAATGTTACAAGAAGAAAATCTCAGAACATTTATAAAGATGCTTTGATAATGAGAGACAAACTGCTGATGCCGATTAGGAGATTGTAATTTCTTTATCAAAGATTTCGGATTTGGGTAATGCTGTACAGTACTGTCCTAATTTTACTTGTAGTCAGATGTACTGTACATAAATCTAGAGCACTTACTACTTGGGTAGATGCTGTAGATTAACATGAAGGCCGGTGTCTTTTAAGTTCCTGATAAATATGATAGTACTGTACACAGTTTCACATGAACATCTACAACCTTCAGATGTCAATTTTTGATGTCTATATATTGTTCAAGAGTAGAAATTATTGTCTTGTAATTTTTCTACAATCTAAAATGTTGTCTGCAAATGACTATGCATGCATAACCAAGAACAGTGTCTAAAAAAGTATCTGTCCACACAATGTGTGAAACATTATGAGACCACAGATGACAGATATTGGGAAATGCATTTACTTTGGTATACTGTATAGTTTAACACAAGTTCAGTAAGTCTTCGTTTAACGTTGCCCATGACAACGTTGTTTCGTTATAATGTCGCTACTCTTTAGATACCAATGATTCAGACGTCCCGCTGATTCGGTATAACCTCGTCACGGACTAGTTTGTATGGCGCATCACCCTCTCTCACCTAGTCAGAGCGGGAGGAGGAGCCACCCTCTGGGTCTCGGTGACTCACCACCCTCCTCTTCACTACCCACCACATACTCGCTCCACCTCCGCCCATCAGTGAGTACAATACAAAATGATTTAGTTTTTTATATAAACCATTTTCTTTAAAAATTCCATCAAATTTATGGATATGTAATGTATTTTATGGGGCAAAGGAAGGCTGGGGAACGTAACTCCCGTATTTTATCTATTTCTTACGGGGAAATTTGATTCCATTAACGTTGTTTCCGTTTACATCGCGGTTTTCAGGAACGGAACCACGACGTTAAGCGAGGACTTACTGTAATGCAATGTGTATTTATTTTGGCATAATTAATATGATGTTCGGTTACCAAATGTAGGAAGATCAGTATGCCACAGAGGCACCCATAACCACCCTCTTGGGACATTACGAGTTACATGTAGCATTTCGGAAGTCATCAGACCCATCCTAGCAGATACATTTTTGAGATACTGTACATAGGCATAAAAGATAGTGTAGATTTTTTTTTTATTGCAATTGGAGCCAGATTATTACCGAATAAAAAAAATTAATTACTCATTAGGGACTCGTTCAGCGTGCTGATTGACTACCGGTAAGCTATGGATACATCACCTTGTTCCATCCAATTGGTCTACTGTGAATGCTCGATTCTGAAAGTGATCAAGAAAATATAATTTTAATGCCTTTAGACTTTTGTTTGACTCTTTTATTTTTACTGCTTTAATTCCTGAATTTTACACTTTCCTTTTAATACAATCTTAATTTTCCATTGTCGGAAAAATCCTCAAATTTGATCGTTTTCATAGTATACTGTATAATTCGTAAAGTAATTTTTGGATACAGTACAGTATTTTATAATACAAATACTGTACAGTATATTGAATATATATAAAAAAAATCCACTTTATTACATTTCTTAATGTAAATGTGTATCAGAAAAACGATCTCATAACAATGCTTATGTATTCTGGAAGCCAGATGAGTAATGGGTCAAGGCCAAGTAAAAAAAAGTTGCCAACTAGGATTTTCACCGAACCCACATGGTGCTAATTCTCCTACGTAGGTACTGTACCTTAAGCATAGCCTTGTTGTTTGCTTTATTTAGAGAACCTTTACAGTATAGTACTGTATGTCATTACTGTTCTCTGAAACATAAATTAGTTGGTTTGAGATACTATGTATAGGACACTTCCTCCCAATACAGTAGACCCTTGCCATTTGCGGGTTTGCATTTCGCAATTTTGATGATTAGCGGTAAGCAGATGGTAGCAAGCTTGTGGGCCTTTTCCCGCAACACAATGAGTCGCCCCGTGCGCCCGCAGTGTCTCCTCTCCCTCTGTTTGCGCTCAACCATTGCCTGTGATGCAGCATCTTATGTTGTTCTCTCAAAACTGTAGTCTAAAAGACTGCCTAGTGTCAGTGCTAGTGATACTGTTGGAGTGAAATGTAAAAGGCAGAAGTCAGTGATGGCCCTGACAAAGAAAGTTGAATTATTAGATAAGTTAAAAGAGGGGATGAATGCTGCCGTGACTGGTCGGTTGTTTGGTATAGGTGTACTGTAGTGAAAGGGTTTAATGTACTTCAGTTTTCAAAATTACCATTTCTGACTAATAATTTAGTCTACATGATACAGGTTGGCCAATATTCATTTGACAGTGAATCAAACATCTATTATCAAAATATTATGTTAATGTTAATTCTGTATTTGATAGCTTGTACTATGAAACAGAAGAAACAAACACTGTGCATATTAAGAATTTCATAATATAATCTGTATTACCACTTCTATCCAAATAAAGTTCAGTTTTCTTTGTTAAGAGATGGAGAAAATAGCAAATTTCATGGAAATAAGGAATTCATGTATTTTTTTGTCATTAACTCCCATACATGTGGACAGCCAAAATGAGGTGTGTCAAATCTACATTGAACAGTAATTCAAACTCCTTCTAATTGCAGGTTCTTGGAAACAATGTATACAATAAATATGAAAATTGAATAAGTGGCAATCCAGGCCTAAGCTTGGGAGTCCAGTAATGGACAGACAGCAGTTATTGTCTCGGATATGGAGAAAATAATGTTTCCAGACCTGAGAACACTGTATATTGATATGTGCATGGAGTGAGTGAATACACATATGAATATTAGTAAGATAGATAAAAATAAACCAAAACACAAGACCAGCTGCTACCATACATAACTTTCCTACTCTAAAAAGTGTTTGTGAAAATACCACAAATACGGTAATGTATATACAGTATACAATAGTCCCTCGCTAATGGCGAATTTTCCATCTGCGGATTTTGAGTATCCAGGGTTTTTGCTCGATACCATTTCAAGCATGGCGTTGAATTTTGAGTATCCATGGTTTAGCACGGCGTCATTTTCCCTTCGTGTTCTAATGTATTCATTCGCTCAATGTCCAGCCTCCCGCCAGTGCTGTCTCAGTGTTGTGATCTCGTACAGTGTAGACATATTTTACTGCTCCATACACTGGATATTTATTATGTATTTTCTACCATAATAACAATGATTTTGCCTTTAACTACAGCCCCTAAGCATGCATTGAGTGTTAGTGATAAAGGTGAGAAGAAAGTGAAGAGGGGCAAGGAATGTAATGACTCTAGAAAAGAAAGTGGAAGTGCTCGAAAGACTAACGGGTGGCTACGATATGGGCATGTCATCCTCATCCACCATCATTCTCTATGAAGGTAAATACCCCTTATACTGTTAAATTTATATTACTATTTAATTTATATTATGCTGTTTTATATGTATTTGACTCAAATTTAATGAAATGTGTAATACAGGTATTGTTTTGCGAAGGAACAGGCAACTTAGTTAGGCTTTGGCGAGTGTTATCGGTGACTGTGGAACCTAATCCCTTAAGCTTTTAATCTTGCCAACTGTGGAAATACCAACCACATGATTTTTCAAGAGCCCGCGGTTGGCAAAGGACTACCGGTACTGTATTGTTAAGTATTAAGTATCACAGTGCAGTACAGTATATGTAATACAGTGTCAGTACAGTACAGTATATGTAATACAGTGTCAGTACAGTACAGTATATGTAATACAGTGTATCTGAATGTTAAGTGAATAAAAAAAAAATATTCTGCGAAAGGATGGCATTAACACCCAGTTGTCTCAAGAGCCACTCTATGTTACCTAATAATTATGACACTGAAACACTGTGAGGGCTGTTTAAATGTGTAAGCACAACAAAACTAATGAATATTTTAAGGGTTTTTACATAATCTGACATTATTTAAGAATACAGTAGTTTTTTTTTCAACATGTAATGGTATGTCTAGGATTATCATATTCATTGGAGGGGTTAAACACTGAAATGATTGAGAGGTTCTCCTTCAGGTAATAATTCCAATAAAAAGTTCAGAACAGTAGTTGATTCTCTACAGAACATCTTTTTTTTTATCATAAAAGGATAGTGATAGATAATATACTTTACATAGGTAAAGGAAAAATATTGCAAAGTAATGCAAATGCTTTCAGACTGAGGAGAAGAGTATGAGTGGATCATCAGTTATGATGCGGTATTGGAGAGTTGAGGCATTAGTGTTAACACATCTTGCAATATGAAGAATGACTCATAACACAAATTTTAATCATTCTTATTTTTTAACTGTAGCCATATTATGCAAACTAACTAAATTAAGGGGGTTATTTCTTACATGTAGCTACCCTAATATTAATTGAACAGAATAACCAATATCTAAATTTAATTTATATATATCTTACAACAATATACTTTCTCAATATTACCCAGAATACCACGTCTTTGTTTATTAATGTGGTTGTGAACTGTTTGTTATTAAAGAGGTTACAGTATTGGACTATCTATGAATACTAAGGAAAAAAATATTTGTATTCTACTATCTACTTAGTTATTAATCTTTTGCAAATTCAGGATTGTAAAACTGAACTTGAAATACCAAATTTAAATATCTGGTCACTAGAATGAACTAGTATTGTTACATAAAGCTATAAATATTTTATATCTTCCTTAATATTATTCTTAGAATTTCTAACCTGAATTTTGCTGACCATTTCAAACAAAATGACATACAGTATATATATATATACACCAGATGATTGCATATTTGAAGGCCTACACAAACAAACTTTGCAAATCCAAAATACCTTACTTGATTTCATGACAATTACAGTACAGCACTGTATTTGTAATTGATTACCTGAACATTTGAAATTCAAACATGTTTTCACCATTTTTGTCATAAATATGACTGAATAATTACAGCTTCTGTTCCACCTCTCATGATTAACTAAGCTATAGCATGGCAGGTTGTTACCATGCTGGCTTATCAAATTTGTTCATCTTTTCATTTTATTTACGGAAAATTTTTGCTCTTACACTTTATCCTTGGTTCTAAAACTGGCATGCTCAGTGTACAGTATATTCATATTTTCTGTAAGTTCGTTTAGTAAACAAAGGGGAACTTCCATATACGTATTCTTAAAACAGCCATTCTGTAAGACCTCAGGAATGGTTCCCTGTGGATATACAGACTTAAACTGTACAGAAAAATATCTGATAAAAATCTTAAATAAACTAGCAGTTTAGGAATAATAATAATAATAAATACAAACAAATGATAAGGGCTACGTAATGATCTATATTTTAGAGAGAATGTAAGTTCTGAACTTCTTTTGAGAGATGGAACCTGGTTTCAATGAGTTTATGACAGAATTTCTTAAGAGTACAGTAGTTGGCTTACACGTAGATGTCTTGACTAATTCCGAAGACTTCCACACATGAAACCAAGTTTAAAGAAAAAGTATATAACAATGAGGAACAGAAATCACACCTCTTCACATGAACAATAGTGCAAATACTGTACAGTATTCTGAATTGGATTAATACTAAAACAATCCAAAAGTTTATAAAAGAAAAATTTAAGCTTTAATTTCAAATCAAACTGGTATATGTGTGCAGCTTATGAAGACAGCACAAATACACATCCTGATAGTGCTTTGAGCCTTTTCCAAGATCCTCTAATCCTAATTACTATATGCTGGTGTCTGTATACACTACTGATGAAGCTTAATCAACTAAGATACAAGCATACAGTACTCTTTATTGGGATCAAAATACACTGTATACCAAAAAATAATTGTATCCATTTTTTTTTTTTAAGTTACAGACATCAATTACAGTAGAGTATTTGATATCTTAAGACAATACCGTAATACAATTCCTTTAGTAAAATATAGCTGTAGGTGTAATTTGTGAGCATATTTTTTTTTTTACACTTACTGTATTTGCATTATGTTTTAAGCAAATCTAATGAAATAAATAACTATTTACATTAAAGCTTTGCTTCCAACATTGTCCATAAGTTATATCTGACATGAATAGCATTCTACAGGTATGGGATTATCCCATGCACAGCAAGATATGTAAACAGTACAGTACACGAGTTTGGAATATAATGGACAAGATATCACATGCCAAATATTCCAAACAGTACAGTACTGTACTGCACATATATGATATAGTGAATCCTGAGGACATAAAACACTGAGCTAATAGCTATAAGATTCTATTCAATTCATATTATAACATTATGACGTGCAGATATATAGAAGCATGTGAACTCCACAGCCTATATAAGAAACATAAACATAATATTTGACCTAGCATATCCTCAAGGATTTTAAAATATTGTGATAGTGCCACTACAAAATTCCAGTAAATGAGATGTTTCCAGTTCAGAAAGATATTCAACTTTTACAGTTAAAAACATCAGATTCTAGTGTTTGACAGAAAAATGCTTGAATGTGTACTCTTGTATTTCCTTCTCATTTTTGAACTCCACCTTATCAATTCGAGAACTTGGGCTTCCAGTTTTCTGCAGCCAATTTTTCCTAGAGAAAAACATAAAACAATTAGTAATATATATCTAATAAATTATGAAACTGTTAGTTAATATTTTACATTCTATTTATACAGAAATAGTTAGTCTGAAAATTTTTCATTAGCATACAGTACTGGAATTGCTTACCATTTTACAAATGGTTTGCTCCTTATAATTATGTAGTAGTACTGTACATGTTTTTAGGACTTTCTAAAAATGATAATATTACTACAATAACAGAAGTAGATTAATGATAAAGGATTTTATTATCTAGTCATATGACCTATTAATGACAAAAAAGGGTAAAATCAAGAAAGTCACTTCTTTCATGAAAAGGGGAAAAAATTTCAAACTATACGTACATAATTTTTCATGGAAGGGGATAATTTATATACTGTATATATTTTTGGGGGTGGGGGGGTGATTTTTAACAAAGGCTAACCATCTTTATGCATAACAACAAACATGCACATCATATAGTATACAGTCAATCCTCACTTTACGCGGTTAATTCAACCCACAGGGTACCGCGGAAAGTGAGAAACGCGTAAAGTGAACAACATAACATATGGGATTAATTGAAATAGAGGCCGGGCCGACCCCCAAACTCCACTTTTTGACGACACACAACTATGTTGTAGTAAAAATATTATCTTAACTTTATGATGGTATGCACACACAATTATTAAGAGAAATATCAATAATATTAGGTTTTTTAACACTTACATTAGTAGAAAAGATGGCTAGGCAGAGGGCAGATTATTGGCCCTCACCTGTATCACTTGTATCAATTGTATCACTATCCACCACAGAGGCTTGCAGGGCCTCTTTGTCAAACCCCTCAAAGTCCATATACGTAAGTCCATATCCTCACTATAATTATCACTCACTGACTTGGGCCGGCTGTGGTGGGTGGCGGGTGAAGAACTCGGTAATGTTTTGATGACTGGGCGACCTTGTGCGCACCATGCTCGCGCCGCTTACACAACATGGCAGATGGCGGGAGGTTTGGATCCAAAAATGGCGCGGCTCGCCAGCCGCTCTCCGGGTAAAGGGGTACACGCACCGCGGAATGTGAGCATTCCTGTTTCGGCAGGGTACCGCGTAAACGTGAGAAACGCGGAATGTGGGACCGCGTAAAGCGAGGGTTGACTGTATTAATTAATCATATACTACAGGTAGAGTATATACTAAATTTTGGTGATTACTAACACACAAATTTTAATAAAATAAAGTAAACGGTGTAACCTTAATGACTCTAAGTAGCTGGACCCCAATCTTGAAAAGATGACTACCGCACAGGTCTAATGTTAGTTTAAGTGCAAAAAGCATAAATATTCTAACGTACATTGGAAACATGAAAACATATACCGTACAGTAAAAGTCCAAAAATCCGGACCACCCAAGAATCCAGACTTGTATGTGCGCATGTGGGAGCGCCACAGCAACAACAAGCAACCACGTGGTCGCCACTTTAAAACGAGCAATCAAACTGTGACAACATATGTAATTTTGAGTCCTACTCTTTCCATTTACAGAGTACTATACAAGCCCATAATAATGGCTCCTAAAGTAGATAAACTTTGTTTTGTGAAGAGAAAGAAGAACACGTTGAAATTGAGTGACAAACTTGAAATAATTAAGAAACTAAAACGTTGTGTGAGCAATACTGTTCTAATGGAAACGTACGACGTTGGAAAGTCTACAATTTATGATATAAAAAAGGCAAAGAATAAAATTCTAGAATTCAGAGTTTTTCTTTAAAACTGCTAGTTTTGATAAATGAAGCATGCTATATTTGCTAATGAATAAACTATCAAAATGTACCTGTTCATCTCTTCTTTATTCCTCTTTAAATTTGAATTTTAAAGGTACTGCCTGAGAATCCGAAAATCCGGACCGACCCAATCCCCAAGCAGTCCGGATTTTTGGACTTTTACTGTACACCCAAATCCAAAGATGACCCTTCTTGAATAGCAAAATCAATGGCTCTGAATTTGATACCAAAATTTTTATGATCTACAGATTATTAAAGTGGCCTATTAGGTCTATACTATTAAATCATCCCTTCTAGAACCAACCTTTGCCAGATGGATTTGACATATTTAACAGCAAGATGCACAATCTAAATAGACAATGTTAGATAATGTTTTGCCGCAAGCAACCTTCTCGTTTCAGTATACTTGGTCAAAACTTACACAGTTAAAACCCATTCAGACATAAAAGGAAGTTCATATCCTGCTGTCTTAGTTGCTGCTAATCTCACCAAATCAAGTGAAATTTAATTTTTGACCTTCATTCAACTAGGGTATGCCGCTTGTAGCACAATCTCTATCAAACACTGTTCATCTGGATAGTATATACTTCTTGTACCTGTATATATAACTGTACCCTGCATTGAGGGTTAGTATTTATGAAAGTGGGATAGGGGGGCCAGTAAAGCCATTTGATCAATGGCCCAATTTACTCCACAGTCTGGAAAAGGAATTTCAGTGCTATATAATCCCAATAGCATCACACACGAACAGGAGGAAACACATTACAATAATGTAGGAAAACGTATTTCTCAGTGCTGCTGGGAAAGGTAGCGATAGGGGGTTACTATGCAGGCTTAAAAAAAAATAATAATAAAAAAAAATTCATATACAGCTCCTCCCCGACTTACAATGGGGTTAGAGACCCAAATCCAGGTCGTAAGTCGGAAATGCTTAAATAATACATAGAAAATCTAAAATGGGTGTCTCTTTTTCTTCTCAGCACCACAAAACTCTCACTTTTAAGCTTGCCAGCCATTTTAAAGTGAATTACAAACGAAAATTTTGTCTGTGTACTGACTTTGGGACTCAAAAAATACGTAATTTGACCAAATTTTGGTAAGACTGAGGCAGGTCGGAAGTGCGGGTGGTCGTAAGTCGAGTAGGTCGTAACTTAATAAAAATGTAGTGGTTTCTTTGCAAGTCACCCTGTAACCTAATTGCCATGTTTTGACAGTAAATCAACCAGTTTTTGAGCTTTGATGAAAACTTGCTTTGACCTCAAACCTATAACCCTAATCTCTGACACACTACTCCAAAAGCAGTTCAGTCCCATGTGGACCAACAACAAATTTACCTGCCACGTTCACCAAAGTCAAGCAAGCCCCCCCCCTTCTCCCTCTCTCTTTCTCTCTCAATACAAATCAGGTCTGGGTAAAAAGTAACAAAATCTATTGGTTAATAATTCTTTGGATTATATCTTAAATAAGATAAAAAAAAATCAATTTATCTAATGTAAAAGGCTCAAATAAGTGGTAACCATCATCATGCAACAAGCGAGCATCAAACATTACTGGGTTGGCAGGGACATGTGCCATAATAAAGGCATGGAATATTTTACTAAAAAGCATCTGGTGTGCGTATTTTATACTTATGGGCCATAAATGAACAAATGTGCAAGTACTGGGCATTCTCATATAATGAAATATTATACCTGTACTAGAGATCTGTGCCAAAATACAAATTGTAGGAAATAAGATGTATCTTGATAAATAAACATAACTATAATGCTTGAAAGTAGTACAGTATCTGGTTACACTTCCCTCAATTTAAAATTACTAAGGAGAAAGCAATAGATTGTATAACTGGTCAAAAGCACATCTCTAAATGTTTGTTAATTAAACTTTTTTCCAGTAATATGACTATTTTCTAGCTCATCCTGCATTAAGGCTACATTTGTATACAAAAGTTATTTCAAGTGAGACAAAAGAATATGCATATCATTATGAAACTAAACTGATAAGAATTTAGAATAATCATGAGAATGAACAAATGTTACCTTACTTAAAGAGTTCCAAAAGTTACATTTGAGTACTGCACTGTAAAGGGACCGCATTCTCAAAACGCCTCATCAGTTACATACAGTACCAGAGATACGTACTTTAAGCATCATTAATGATGATGGAATTATGTTTGAGTAATACTTGAGGACAATGGTTAACCAATGGCCAAAATAATCGTATATAATAAGAGTGGTAAAATTGCATAAGAGTGGCATCGCATGTTTTCTTACAAAAAGTGTTTTTTCAAAGGTTTTTGGTTTAATACAATCAGTAGTCAGTTTTTTTTTTGGCTGCAAAATTAGTGTAATGTACCTTACCCCAATGTAACCTTACCTAACATAATCTAATCTAACCTAACCTAACCTTTACCTAACCTAATCTAACAAACTTTGCCTTACCTAATCTTTGCCAAACCTAATCTTTGTCTAATCCAACCTTTACCTTACCAAACCTAACTTTACCTAACCTAACTTTAACTAACAAAACCTTTACCTAACCATACCTTACATAACATTACCTAACTTTCAACTAACCTAACCTTAACCAAACCTTTACTTAACCTAATCTTTACCTAACCTATCCTAAATTTACCTTACCTTCTTACCTAACCTAACCTTTCCCTTTTTATAATCCATTTGCAAAGATAATCAAAGGTTAAAATGCATAATAGTAGCATCCTAAGTTACGTTTATATATCATCAACAGGTTTATAGATATGTTGGAGAAATGATTATAAAAAAGTTTACCTCTGCAAATGTATTTTTTTTTTTAAGAAATTTAAATTTTTCAAGAAAACTTAATTGCTTGTCATGTGCATTGCAGCTTTCTTAGGTTAGGTTAGATAGGGTAATGTTAGGTTAGGTTAGGTTAGGTTAGATAAGGTAAGGTAAGATTAGGTAATGTTAGATTTTGTGAGGGTAAAACACATTTCACTAATTTTGCAGCAAAAAAATCACTACTGAATGTATTATATGAAAAACCTATAAACAATTCTTTTTCTAAGAAAAAAAAATTACTATGCCACTGTTAATTTTAAGCCACTTTTTTATTAGGTTTGATGAACTTAGATTGGGTTAGGTATTACTTATCAATGAGTCATGGGTACTTCTTGGATACTTGGCAGAATAGCTTGTTATAACTTGGTCCTAGCCATACCAAGAAGGCGGTGTCTAGGCAAAAATGTTCACTTGACCTCGTATTTGGCTTTCATTAATGACAGATATCTACGGCTATACCACATTAATAAGGTCTATCTGCAAGTTTATTCAGTCATAAAAAATATTTGTACTATAAATGTGAACAATACAAAAAATCTATTTTGGTACAAATTACTTGAAAAGTTGTAGTAAGAAGACAAAAGACGCGTCTCTTCCATTCCGTGACAAATAGAAACACACTTCAACCTCTTCTTTTCGTAAAAATTAACTAAAAAGACACACTGTAATATCGTATTTTGGTAGGTTAATGTACAAAACATTTTCTTCATTATTCTATTATAAAACAAGTCTAACAAGCATTATTACAACATATACAGTATTATTAATTTTTGCTATGCAATCAGGAAATAGCAACTTACTATATCCGGGTTGACCATGTTACAGTAGCTAAGGAGGTCCTGTAAGTTACGGTCTCAAATACGGACTCGCTTACGAAGTCCACTGCCAAATATTTGTTTTGAGAATACCGATCGGAACCTGTAACTCCAGTTACGGGGTAAACAAAGAGATACAGTCCAGGTAAATGCTTTTGAGAATGCAGCCCCAGAAAAGCATTTAAGATTCACACAGGTAAATCAACACTCAAACATGCTAATATCGAGTTTAAAATGAGACGGGGATGTTTTATGATGTCTCACTCTAGCGCAACGTGCACAGTGTTAAAACGTACATTAGCATAACCATCTCCCGAGGTCCCTCCACCTGCCCCATCACTGTACCATGGTATGTATTCATGCACCAGCCGCGTACACCTAACTTGATCCCCTGGTCTTGAGTGTACTGTTGGGTCAAACAAGTAAACTTTTATACTCTAGAATAATATCATCTTCCTTGCATGGAACACTGCTGGAGTTCATATTTTGTAAGTAAATTGGAAACTAATTTCAGCATTCATACTTCTTACCATGCACAGCCAACCATGAGACACTACTTAAGGCATAAGTTTCCAATCATGGGCACTGCATCTGATAATGATCCAAATGATGAGCTAAGCAGAGAGAAGTAAAAGTTCTATTATACAGTATATGTACTATAATTCATGCTGAAAGTGAAGTTGGGGGAAGTGTATATGCTGAAACAGAAATAAAAACATTAGTTTATTAGAAAAGAGAATATTAATCCCTGAAGTACTGTACTATATCGAATGAGGAGGAAAAAAGCAGCTTGTATGCTGAAGTCCTTCATACTTAGGCTCCAGTAATCTAAGCAATACACAATCCCAATAGGTAAGAAATTACACTGTAGCTCATTACTTTCTTGAAGACAGTATTCATGGTACAGTATTAGGGGTTACAAATTTCTCTATACAGTATTTGAGAGGACTGTAACAATTGAAAATTTATAAAACTTTAAACTGTATATGGGTGAATATAGTACAGTACAGGTATCCTTGATATACGAACATTTGAGATACGAAAATTTGCTTAAACAAATTTCCTAAATTTACACCATTATTTCAAGACACGAAAGGTTCCCCTGCTTATGTGAATTTGGGTCCGGGCAAAATTTCAAGTTTCGCACGCCGGGGGTAAGCTGGTGCGGCCATCTTTGGGAGACATGCACAGAGACATATTCTCGCTCACTGATCATAACCCCTTCCCTCCTTCAATGTACCTCCTACAAGCTCGCGTCTTTCCTTCTGCTATTTGTTGTGTGTGTGAAGTGATCTCTATATCTGTGTGTATTTGTGCCATCCTTTCATTATGGCATCCAAGCGTTCTGCTGAACTTTCGGCTACCCGTACTACACCAAAGAAATTGCGAAAAGCTGTAACTTTTGAGACAGCTGGAATTAATTAAGCGTCATGAATGCAGTGATGGCCCTACCAAGATTGGGAAAGATCTTGGTGTGGTTGCTTCTACTGTGGCCACAATTTACAAGTATGCTGAGGACTGTGTTGTCCTTGGCAGACAGCAGTGATGAGGTGGACAACCCTCCTCATCTCTGTGAGTAAGGCCCCTGCTCACCCCTTTGTGGTGGTGAGCCCAGACTGCCCTCCCATAAGGTAATGTACCTGTACTGAAGTTATTTTTCATGTGTTAGGTAGTAAATTAGAGTGGTTGTGTATTATTTATCATTAGTTAGGTAGGTTTTGTTCTTGTTTGTGAACCGATTTCTTGTTTTTGGGGGTACTGTATGATATTGGTGTATTTTTGTCATTGGGGAACTGAACCTTATTTTTCCCATATGCTCTTTCATTCGGTGTGAAAATTCACTTAATGAATGATTTTTGTTGGGGGAACCTAACCCATTCATATATTGAAGGATACCTGTATTCTGTACTAAGACACCATGAGAGTTGGTAACACCAATTTAAACCCCAAAACAAAACTTCAAGTTCAGGTCCAGTCTAGGTTATCAGGGCATTATTTACTATGGTATGTATAGAACTGGCTACTCTAGTATATACTGTGATGATTACGATGCTGACCATTCTCACATGGGACATGCAATCTTATGAAAGTGAAAATTAGAAAGAGCAGTTTTCTAGTTACATTATGCTATATGTATTATGGTTCTTAAAAAAAAAAAAAAAAGGAAAACCGCTTTGAACAGGGTAGGTGTGCTATGTAACTACTGTACATGTACTGTATTTGATATATTATAGGTAGAATCCTACTGTAATAAGATAACAGGACTTGGTCATAAACTGCATTAAAATTTTTATCAGTGAGTGAGTGAATTATGACTGGTACTCATAGAACTGAGAGACAGTTAAAGAGGTTGTGAATGCAGAGAAGCACCTGGGCTGATTAATGTTCTTAATCGTATAAAGAATAACATTACAGGGTATATTGATGTCAGCAATATAAGATACAGAAGAGGAAATAAAATTGTCTGAGTTCAGCTAAGACATAGTCAAGCTATATATTAACTACACGCTAAACTGATCAACAGGTGATGTGTATAAAGGAAAACTATATTTAATATCTGTGGGTATTCTAGAACCTACAGTATACTTGTAAAATATGACAGACTCAAGATGATTAAGGAGATTTACACCCAGAGTTTTAATCACTCTTCCATTGATGGGGGTCATCATGTTTACAACCAGTTTAAAAAATTTTGAGTTGCAAAGGACACTGCACTACAGTGTTTGACAGGGAAGTGTGGTGGTAAAATGAACTCATTCCAATATTATAAGTTAATTTTATTGCCACACCTCCTTGTCAACCAAAGTAGTGTGGTGTCCTTCGCGACTCAATTTTCTTAAAACGCTGGTTGTACAGTAAATACAAAGACCCTCATCAATGGAAAGGGGCGCTTAAACTCAGTGCATTAAGACTTAAAAATGTGTTTAATATGGAGCAGGCCTTACAGATGATACCTAGCTTGGGCACCTAAAGTACTGTACTGTACAGTATAGTAAAACAAGTCTATGGATTGACATCCCAGGGTTCCTAGGATCCCTGACATTGTTGACTGGAACTGATTAAAAAATTTAGTGACCTTCCCATCACATTCTTATCCTTTACTAAAGAGAGGTTTGGTAGGCAATGATTACTACCTACTCAAGACTAAAGGCTAGAAGTCTTCACTGTCACACTAACATGCTCTTCTCGACCCTCAAAGGCTCTGCTATGAAGTGTCATTTCATGAATGAATCCCTCATTTCCAGTCAACTTGAGCTGACTAGGCAGATGATACTGCTTTGTTCCAGTCCTAATGGAACATAATCAGTAGTACCATAATACTTTGGTAATATTTCCACGTGCTTTACTCAAATTTTGGTTGTGGCCATCCGGTCCTGATAGTACAGTATGAATTAAAATTGTGTATGCTGTACTGGTAACATGTTGCAAGTGTCAGTTCACACAGCCTTCCCAATTCACCTTAAAAGTGGGTGGCAACATAGTTGTGGGCCACTCTGCTTAAATTGTACAATGTGTAGCTCTGCCCGTCTTATGATTCTTTTAATCCAGATGCTGGTGCCTGGCCTGAGGCTTTTAAAAGTACATATTTTGGTGTGTTTTGGGAGTAACTTCCATTTTTTTTACTCCAATTGTCAGTTGGAAAAACACTTTTTAGCCTCCCTTTGGGATTAGTCGGTTACATTCGTATGTTCATTTGAGAATTGAGAATCTATTTTGGTATGTGCGTCTGTGTGTCCAAATTTAGACATAATGGAAACATTTGCCCCTTTTACCCAGTAAGTCTTAGCTATAAACAGAATATTGTAAATATGTCTTTGGTTACCTCAGGGAGGTATGACCCTGCCTTGCCACTCTGTAGGTTGGCATGAGGAACATAATCATAAACTTTGCTTCAACATGCCTGATGGTAACAGGGTCATCAAAGCTGTGCCCATCCTCTGGCGCATTTTCTAAGCTGGTGCCCTGAATTTACTGTGGTGAGCATTCTGGTTTTACCCAACAGCTGCTATTGGGTAATCTTGCCTAACCATGCAATTATGAGAAATGGCTGTAAACTGTTGATCATGATGAAGTTGTCCTTCCCAGCCTAAATAGGTATTTATGCTGAATGGACTTGCTTTACCCATCTAAATTTAAAAGTCATTGACTTTCCAATTCCTATAGAGTATTTAATGTACTTACTATCTTGCTAGCATTGATAATTTATCCTTAAGAGTTTCAGTCATTGCCAGGATGACATTCAGAAACTCAACCTAATGAGAGTGGTACAAATTATTATACAGTGACCCCTCGTTTAACGAACGCCTCGGTTAACGAAATTTCGGTTAACGAACTGCCTTCCATATGGATCTTCAATTCGGTTAACGAACAAAAATTCGGTTAACGAATTTCTTACGAACCGACCTCAACATGTTTTTGCTTGCACTGGCCGGGCAACCAGCTTTAGTATCAGTCCGCCAATACATTAATCGGTTCTAGGGCTTAAATTCCTTACTATTTTAGTAAACATCAAGAAGTTTATACTATTCAATAATTTTAAAAGTTTAATATTCAATTTTTTAGTCATTTTAACAATTATTGAACATAATTGAAGGTAAAGTGACTAGTTTAATGCGCGGCATCCAGCCTCTTAACACAGCAAACAGGCGTTAGTCTCTCTCTGTTTTCACTGGAGGTAACATCTTGCTTGAGACTCTCTTCAACTAAACGCTTTTTTTCTGTGATTCCAAGCAAATTATTGGTCATTTTGAAATATATTTTACATATTGACAATATATAATGCAGTGCAGTGTTGATTTAAAGAAAATAATCTTGACTTACACCAAGAGAACTAAAATTTTATGGGTGAAATGGTGCCATGGGGTGACTTCTCTTCCACCCCAATGCCTTCTCTTCTTCCTTCTCCTCCACCCCCATTCTAATTCCCATCACCATCATCCAGGAGCCTTCTACATACACACCTCAAAGTAAGTGAACTTTTCTACCATTTTTGTTGAATTTAGGAAATTTTCGGTGAGCTGGAACCAATTACCCAAAAACCCATTGAAACAATGGTTTCGGTTAACGAACGACCTTCTGGAACGGATTGAGTTCGTTAACCGAGGGGGTCACTGTATTGGAGAGGTAACATAATGGGACTCTTTTTGATGTTCTAGTTCTTTTAATATTATGTATGATAATTTTATTAGATAAAAATTATTGTTTCTGCCAACCTACTGTGTATTCTCATTTGTCATAAAAACATATACAGTACTGTACAGTGGTCCTTCGGTTAACGAACACAATTCGTTCCAGAAGGTCGTTCGTTAACCGAATCCATTGTTTCAATGGGATACTGGGTAATTGGTTCCAGCTCATTGAAAAGTACATACAAAGTAAAAAAAAAAAATGCAGTAAAGTACACTT